CTCCTCCTCCTCCTCCTCCTCCTCCTCCTCCTCCTCCGCGGGCGGGCGGTGACAGAGCGGTGATGGATCCCCCCAACCCACTGCAAGGACCCCCTTTTCCCCCATATGACAGGAAGGAAATAAACACATCATTGTCCGACCCCTAACTTAGCTTAGGCTTTACGTGGAGTCAAGATAAATCTGGGTAGTAGTAATTTACACTAAGAGACAGACAACAATCCAAGCAGATATCCCGTCTTTCCTCTAGGTGTTCGTGTTTGATGCTATTATTGTAATGGTCTCAATTCCATTGTATACAGTAATTGCATTGATTATTAGGTAACTTGCTTCAATGTGAGCAAAATCTATCAAGCACACTTCATAAAAGGGAGGGAAACAACTTCACCATTTGGTGAGAAGGGAAGGCAAAACAATGTTCCGTCAATCATGACCAGAATATGTAAAGTGTATGTATAGCAGAATGGAAAAATCCAAACAGTTGGGTCATGTTACAGACGTTTCTAATCTCCAACATTATCCGGACTTCGTAACAGCCTGGAGATCATTGAGAAACAAAGAAAAAAGGGGCATAAAAAACAAGCGATGTAGTGGCCAGAACATAAGTACGTGGGCGTGCGTGCATATCACAATCCCCGCATCCAGTCTACATACCATGAGAACATAAAAGGAAAGGACATCATTATCATATTCCGTGCACCTCGTCAAGGGTAAATTTTTAGGCAGGAATCTCTCCTCATGCAAAGCTCTGCTGTCCGGCCGCAGCCCCCTCGACAAGCACTTGACCGGCATCGTTGCCCTGGTCGATGTTGTGGAAGTCCAGGATTTCGGAGTACCTGTCTTGTTGTCAGCATGGTGGAATCTTCTGCATTGTACGAAACCCACATCATGATCTTCCACGTATCCACCGGCAGGTCGGCATCGTTGAATGACCAATCGAACTTCTCCTCGGCCTCAGGCTCGTCGGTCGGGTCGTGATACGGCGCAAGGTACTCGTGGGCCAAGGCCTCGCCAGCCCGAATGCGCTTCTTCGGGTCAAATACAAGCATTTTTTCCAACAGATCGACCGCTAATCAATGTCAGCAAGACTCTCGCCTCCAACCGCAAAGGAGGACATTATGTTCGTACCATCTGGATCGGCATTCTTGAACTTGGTGGCCAGAGGTTGTCGCTCACGCTTGGGTAGCGACTTGACGAATCGCAATGTCTAAGTATCACAATAAGAGTTAGTTTTCGGTGCTTGATGATTTGAACCGACTGTCACCCACATTCTCGCTGCAAATGGTCTGGATCACGTCGTCGGGTGGAGTTCCCAGCAGCTCCGTAATGATCGAGAATTGATTGACGTGATCCTTTCCGGGAAACAGGGGCTTTCCTTCCAACATCTCCGCAAAGATACACGCTGCGCTCCAAATATCCACCTCCACGTCGTACTTCTGCCAAGTGAGCATGATCTCGGGCGCACGGTAATACCGGGTTGAAACATAGCCGGTCATCTGCGGATCCTGGATACGGGCAAGACCGAAATCGCAGATTTTGAGGTCGCAGTTCTCGTTGATAAGGATGTTGCTGGGTTTGAGATCACGATGAACGACACCGGCCGAGTGGACGTATTTCAACCCCCGCTATAGACCGTTAGTGACCGTCACGAGAGAGCATCTCGGAGACGAGATGACATGATCGGCTCCGACTACATACCAGAATCTGGTAAAGGAAATATTGAATAAACTGTTTTTCAAGAGGCCGCGAAGTTAACAATCTGTGAAGATCGGTGCCAAGCAGCTCTGTGACGAAATAGCTGCGGTTGCCATGTTAGAGTTAAACTGGTCGCGGGGAGCGATGACGAATGCGTACATATCCTCAAGCGGGGAGATAAAGATGTCGCTCAGACTGATGATCTGCAAATTGTCAGCCTTCGGAGCACGGCGGGGCGACGAATCGCCGGACAGCGGCATAGACCAACATTTTCGTGTCGCAGGTGTTTCAACAGTTTTAGTTCGCGGTATGTTCTCTTGGATAGGACGGGTGTGCTGAATGGCTTCATGATTTTCTTGACCGCGACTGGTTGCCCGGTCAATTGATCCCGCGCCGAGCTGGTTGAATCCGAAAGGGGCGCATGTCAGTAAAATTCTCGGTTGGTTGACCTGCAGACAACAAACGTCGCGACCAAAAAGCAAGAGAAGGGAATGCTGTTAATAGCCATACCAGACAAGACCAAAAGCGCCCATGCCCACCGGCTGCAGGTCGGTGTACCTGTGAAATCCGAAGTTAGAAGTCATCCCGACACGCTTGGAGGGGTAATTTTGGGTCAGTTCATCCTACCGGCTGGTGATCTCAAAGGTGGTGCCAAAGATCTGGGCACGCACGAATTCCGCCATTTTGAAGCAAGGATGGATGGCACACCAGGTTCAGTTCAATGCAGTGAGGAAAATACGAGGGTTTATGTTTTTGAACGGGGGGATTCTCGGGGGGAGGGCGGTGGATAACGTAGCGAGGATGTGAAGAGGGAGAGAGAGAAATGGAGGAGTAAGAGTGGGAAGGAGGAAAAGATGTCTGGAGGAAGAAGAGGACCAGGACCTGCGGGCGCAGAGAGGAATATCTATCTAAGTTAAGATGTTGAGCGCACCAAAGTTAGAGAGAGAGGGGAAGAAAAGAGAAAGCGAGAACAAGAATGAGATGGTGAGTGAGTGAGTTGAGTGAGTAGCGAGGCAGCAAAAGCCGTAGGTGGCGCCCCAGCAGGGTGTGTGGGGAAAAGACCATTCTTCTTCTCCTAGTCCGTTGAGTTCGACTTTCCGGAACGCCCAAAACAAGACCGATGACGTCCGCGAACGAAGCAGGGTATGGCAGAAAAACTGCTGCCACCATAATCAACACACAGCACACACCGCAGCCTTAAGCCAGAAATTTGGGTTGGTGTGATTTCGTTTCCCCTAGTTTTCCTCCCTCCTTTTCTCCCACCACCTGGCTGGCTTGATCCCGGATTTTTCTTGTCTAGAACCCTTGTTTCGTCGGAATCTATTGGCCGGAAGTGGGCAACCCCCTCCAGATGATGCTGCTCTCCCACTACGCTTACTAACCGTCTAGCATAACTCACTGGCTGTTCAGTAGGATTACGGAGAGGGAGGGATACTTTTTCCCTCAGAGGAAGTCCGGCTTTCATGCGTGGTACCTGAAGAACCCAGTCGATGACTTCAGATCGTTAGTATGAGGCCTTTCGATGGTACATTCAGATTGCAACATTGATTTCTATACCACCCCCACAGCCGCATCTACGACAGTGACCATGACAACTACAACTACAACCACAACCACAACCACAATGATGGCTATCTCAAGATCCTGAATAGCACATCTATATCTGCAATTCGAATTTGTGGCGGCACCAGTCTGGGAACCAGAACCAGAACCTGAACCACATCAATATATCGGCCGATTATAGAAGAAATCCAGATGGCTAGCCTAGGTCGAAGCATGGACTTCCGGCTGGACTAGGCTGGCTGGCTCGCTTTTCACTACGTAATGTTTCGACCTTTGCTGGACGATGTCATCATACCTTGGTGGGTCTGCTAGGTGACGGTTCCAATCACTTCCATTTCCTTCGCGCGTCAAAACCCATCCCGCTCCATCTCTTTTCCCGCAGTCCCCTCTAGATCTATACTGTACCTTTTACCGCCTTCTCAAGTCTGTCTTTTGTTCTGTCTCCCCTATGGCAATCGATCTCAGATCCCCCTTCTACATGTATGAGTACTGTAGCTATACCCTTATCTATAACCTGTATCACATCTACTAGTCCTGTAGCCTTCTTGGACTGGGTCTCCCTTTCCCCAGATCTAAGAATGATCTAAATCGATCGACTATCTAGACTCTCTCAATTCTCGACTCCACCAGGTCGAGACGACATATTGCTGTTGTCGGCAAAGGCTGTCCACCCCTCGTTGGGTCAAAGCGCTTATGTACTGTCCGTTCCAGGGGGCGACTTTCGTTTGGAACACTCCTCCTGCTTTACCCGAGACTCGGTTGATTTTACATTTTCCTGGAGTAGGTCACCTTATATCCAGACTCCCCGTTGGTTATTTATTCGTGCCACGACTCGGGTTCAGGTTACATAGTAAAGCGTGCCTGATCCGCTTAGGTACGACATGCCTATCTAGGTACTGTCGAAATCAGGAGTACTCTAGATGGAGAATGATCGGGAATTATTAAGCTGAAGTGCGATTGAGGAAATATGGCGTTCAGCGTTTTGAGGTTCCAATCCAATAGATTGTGTTTTAAGGTGAAGCGTTACAGTTCGAAGACTCCCATCGAGGAAGCTGGAGATCAATATATACCAGTGAGTTCAGAGCAACCTCAACCTAGCAAATGGTACTTAAGTCTTCTTCGTATTTGAAAAGGGTAGGGTAGAAATACTTGTCTTGAATTTACGAGCGCCGCAGGTTCCCTAGTTCACCCACAGCCATGTGCCTTTGTTTCTCACGGACCATCAGCGATGAGAGTAGCGCATACTATTGAGGCGGGGGGAACAATGACAAGCCAAGAACCCATGTCAATAGACACCCTGTAATCTAACTCTGGAACTCCGACCCGATCGCACCTCGGGCTTGATTTTATATATATACTTTTGAGCAAGACACCTGGTTCAAGCCTCATACCATTCCATCCAAAATACTAGGCTTCCCCATATATAGATGTGCATAGTCAGAATCAAATAACCCGTAGATTCTTATTCAGGTTAATGAGGATTGGACGATGCAGCCTTCGGAGTCATTGATGGGGAAAGCTGGTATGCCTACCTCAGCTGCTGCTAAGTTAGTGTGACCTCGATTCAGCCTCTGACAATCATGTTTCCGACAGCTACAACACCATGACAGAGAGAGAGGGGTCCCAAGAACATTTAGTCCATGGGACCTTCTCCCGTGTGGCTCTGTGTTCCGTGTATGTCTAGTCCGGAATGAATACTCCGTCTAGAAGGAGCGACATTCCGTACGCGACTTTGCTCCTAGTACCGCCGTCAAAGCCTTCTACCACGGGTTTCAGGCAAGTTGTCCATGAGAATAACTTAGTGATTGCTTGAACATGGTGTTGTACTGTACCTACATACATTGAAAGGTAGCAAGCAGTAAGTTTAGTATAAAAGGCATTAGCGGAACCTGTCGGGGGAGTATTTTCCGTCCCAGACCCCAAGAAGGGCTTGGCTGGCTGTCTCGGCGTCACTCTCTCTCGGCCAGTTCAGTGAGGTGTTGGCCTGGAGATTACCTAGTACCTAGTATTTAGTGGTTAGTAGTAGTCTGAAATTGGAGAGAGGACAAATCAATGAATCCAGCTTGGCAGTCAAAAGACCCTTTGTTGTCGGCGCATCTGGTCATTTGGTCCCCGATCGAACTAGTAGGGTAAGCCCAGCACTCCGTCCAGTTGGCTAGTTAGGACGTAGTCTACACTGGCAGAGTGGGCGGTCCACGTTTTTTTTTTTACCAACGAATACCCACTCGTCGCCCCTACGATCGAACAAGTGTATGTAATCTTTCCCTTCCCTCGGTCTCTCGGTCTCCTCAAATCTCCACTTCCGCCTGTCTGGCGACCTTAAGTTAACTAGTTAACTAACGGACTTTTTGAACACTGGGTAAGGTCAAAAGAAGAGTGCTATGACGACTTGGGATATCCACTCCTCCAATTCCCATCCAACATCATCCATCCGTCTCACTACAATCATTCCTTACACTCAACTCAACTCAACTCACTCACTAAACTAATCGACTAACTACCAACTAACTTAACAAATTTACCCGCCTTTGCTCTGAAACACCCACGAGCTGTCATTTCCTCTCTTTTCACATCCCCCCTTCTTCTTCCCCAAACCCACGAACCATTAATCATGAACCATTAATAGATCAGTCAATCAATCTACACATCTTACCTACTTACCTTACTCCCTCCCTTTCCCCTCCAACACCACCACTACCCCCCGATCGACCATTTGCCGACCGAACACAGAAGATCCTCGTTGCTTGCTTACATTATCTCACTCGAGATCCGCGCGCCTCCATCCACTTTCCCACATCAACTCCCGATCGACCTTGACTACCCTTTTTTAGCGTCAGGTCGTCATTCTCGTTCGTTTTGCTGCTCCGCACTGGGAACTCTGACACGCCCCTCACCCCGGCTTTTCCTTCCAGCTCGGACACCGCGAAAGCTACAACGTATCTATCACGCAACCAACCGATTCTACTCTCCATCCAAGCTTCCGCCTCCTCCTCTTCAACCGACTCACCTCCCTAGTTTCCTTCGCCCTCGCCTTTCTCCTCTCCTCTCCTCTCCTCTCCTCTCAACCTACCATATCACGGGCCACACCATTTGCGGTTACCGAAGCTTGCGAGCGTCGCTAAGGCCCTCGTTGTTTCAAATTCGAACCTGTTCAGTGTGGCTTTGCCTGGGACCATTCCGCGCGCAAGTCTCGATCCCTAGTCGAGCTTTCTTTGCCGATCGCAAACCTACCACCCTTTCTTCTGTCGCTCCGAGACCTCTCCATTGTCTTTCGATCGCGCCAATTTCTCCAGACTTCCCTCGATTCGACCGGTCTCAGATTTTGATCGACCTACTGTTCGAGAAACACACTGCCCGGGGGTTTTAGGTGTCAGCGGTCTGATAGGTGGATGCCGCACGCTTCCGCAGGCAGCTAATGGGCTAGTTCTCCGCTGTCTGGGAGTTATACGAGAAAATGGGTTCGTGTATGAGCTCTGAGGCGACCGGAGATGTTGAACAGAAGCGGAGGAGCCAGGCTATCGATCGCAAATTGGAGGAAGACTCGAGACGACTACGGCGAGAATGCAAGATCCTACTACTCGGTCGGTTTCGTGCCCCTTGTTCGGAAATTGAAAATCTGCAGGCTTGAGCTAACAGGATGTGTCTTGTCTAGGCTCCGGAGAAAGCGGGAAGTCGACAATCGTGAAGCAAATGAAGATCATCCATCAGAATGGCTACACGGTCGAAGAGTTGTCATTATATCGTCTGACCGTATACAAGAACCTCCTTGATTGCGCCAAATCGCTCATTGCCGCTTATCATCAGTTCTCTCTCGAACCTTCGAGTCAGAAAGTTCGCGATTACATCCAGTACATCCTCGAATACAATATCAACCCCGATCCCAATGTGCCGCTCGACAGTAAGGTTGGGGATGCGATCACTTACCTCTGGAATGACCCCTGTACGTCGACGGTCTTAGAACACCAGAACGAATTCTACCTGATGGATTCCGCGCCCTAGTAAGACTGCCCGCCCTCCATCCCACCGCCCGGCCCGCACACTGACTATGAGAAACTAGTTTTTTCGAGGAAGCCAAACGAATATCAGCCCCAGATTACATTCCCAGTGTGAACGATGTGCTTCGCGCGCGAACAAAAACTACTGGTATCTACGAGACTCGCTTTACGATGGGCCAACTTAGCATACAGTATGTGACTCTGTTATTGATGGCTAATTTGACCCTGCGTCTTCTATGATGCTTACCTGGTATCTAGCATGTTCGACGTGGGCGGCCAGCGCAGTGAGCGCAAGAAGTGGATTCACTGTTTCGAAAATGTAACGTCCATCATTTTCTGTGTGGCGCTCAGCGAATATGACCAAGTCCTTTTAGAGGAAAGCAATCAGGTATGTTTCGTACTGTTCTCCGCAAGCTGATACCGCATCTGACTGGCTGGAAGAATCGGATGATGGAGAGCTTGGTACTTTTTGACTCCGTTGTCAACTCTCGGTGGTTCATGCGGACGAGTATCATCCTTTTTTTAAATAAGGTCGACCTTTTCCGACAAAAGCTCCCTCGGTCGCCGTTAAACAATTACTTCCCTGATTACTCGGGCGGCAATGACGTAAATCGAGCGGCCAAGTATCTTCTGTGGAGATTCAATCAAGTCAATCGGGCGCATTTGAATCTCTACCCTCAGTAAGTCCGCCTTGTCGCCCGGACTGCAGCCCCATGATCTCTGACTATTCTCGCACAGTCTTACTCAAGCTACCGATACAACCAACATCCGATTAGTCTTCGCTGCCGTGAAAGAGACGATATTACAAAACGCCCTTAAAGATTCCGGCATCCTTTAGAGTGGGGAGCTACTCGGCTATTAGAAGTATTACTGGCTATGCTGCCAGTGAGAAATCTGGCGTTTGTCAACTGGTTGATTAGATCTTCCCACTGTGATCCTCCAACCTTTTCCTATGTCCCACCTGAGGGAACTCATTTACTGCCATGGCCTCTGTGCCGAGTTGTCCAGGGCCTTTCCTCTGGCCGTCCCTCTCTTGCCTTCCTTTTTCTCCTTTTCCTTGAGCCATCTGTTCTGTTTCCTGTCTCATGATTCTCATTATTACCCACATGCGTTGCTTTCTATGGGTTGGCGTCGGCGTTGCGGTGCTTGACTAGTGTCACAGTTTGAAGTGCCTGGCGTTGGAATGGTTTTGGGTCTGTTGGTTTGCCTGGCAAGGTGTTTGCTGTTTCTTTTGTTTAGGGTCGGGATGGCTTGCTCAATTTGGGAGACTTGGTCTGGATTGGCCATGATTGGATGCCCTTTAACCTTTCGGCGAGCTTGGGAGTTGATGCGATTTTTCATCCCAAGCGGAAAAGTTAATGGCTTCAACTTTACTTTGCATATAGCTTGTATGAGGGAGCGCTTGATATTCAGTTTCTCATGCGCTTGAAGCTGTTTCTCTTCTTTCTTGTCCTTCCTCCTTCTCCCTCCCCCCTTCTTTTGAACTTCCTTTCTCAGCTCGATTTCCTATTCCCTATTCCCTATTGATGTCATGCATTTGGACGGCGATCTCTCACTCTCATATCTATCATAATCTGTCATTCTAATTCTCCATTCTTGCTATCCTTGTTTGTGACAAGTGTCCATTTCCTTCTTGTTGCGCGGTTCGCCCGTGGCCGCGATTCTTGATCCATCTCACACAATCATTGGTAGCGATTATATACATGTAATCTAAATCACGTGGATTTTCTTTGTCTTCTGTTGGAAGTGGAAGTGCAGCTGCCCAGCCAGCGGGTTTCGCAACCGTAGGAGTAGTCAAGCGGGGGAAGGGGGAAGGTCTTGAGGAAGGGAGGACATTGCAGAAGGTCAACAATGGTCGAGGTCTGATCTTGATTATTGGACAGAGACGGATTTTCCTCTGTGAGAAGGTAGAGTTGGAGGTGCGGGGTTGAGCTGGGGGATGGAGTGGGAGGGGAAAGATGTTTGCGGTTGGACCAAAAGTTAAGCTGAGACCACCACTGATCATCACTGCTCATCACTGCTCATCACTGCTCATCGCCAACTACTCAGTACTTAAGGTACTCCCAATGAAGGCATTTATCTTATGCCTCAATCTCTCTGTTGTTCCCACTTATGTTGTCGGATGAACAGGAACAATTGGAATGGAATTATCTATTCATTCACAATTGTCTGATCCCCGCTGGATGCAGTGGAGGTGCGTCATAGCGGCTGTCCGGGGAATTGGCGGCTGCAGCTGCAGCTGCTCAGCACCGCAAAGCACAGACACCGACTGACCCGTGACGGCATCACTGCCATCACTGCCATCAATCTGAACCGCTATCTCTCTATCTTATCGGTCAGCCCTGCAACTTCCTCGTCCCATATTCAATGTCTCACCCCCCCCCAAAACTCGACCGCTTCATCGTCATCATCACCAACATCAGTCGATGATGGTGTCATTGACCAATAGGCTGATCCTACCCTCTCTTGCTAGGATCCCAGAATCTCTACCTACTTAATACACGAGTCTAAGAGTCGTTCCTCGCGATTCCGAGCCCTCCGTCGTGCAATTAGTTCCCACGCCATCTGGCACTATGCAAGCCCCGGTTCTACCAGGGTCTAGACATACGGTCAACGTGCATGGTGCAACGGCCCAGTCAACGTGCCAACCGTATGATCAGATCCCTGGTTCCCCTCAGTATAGTCCTGTCAGCGACTCAATCAACCCCTCCGATCCTCTCGTCACCTCCTCCCCCTGCCTTGCTTTGATCCTGGAACCTCAATTCAATTGAGGACCTCCCTGTCACGCGGTGCGGTGCGTAGGACTCCGCTTCCTCGAGCTCTCGCATCTCGCATCCTTCTTAAGTCGGGGTTTGTCTACCCGCTCTCTGCCTTCCTTCCCTTCGTTCGTCCCTTCCATCCCCTCCCTCGTACTCCGCTTCCTTCCTCCAATCTCCAGTGAAGGGCTCTCTTCCTTTTCCTTTCTTTGGATTGATCATCTTGGATACCACAGAGTCTGATTCATTAGGTGCACGGCTCTCAACTGTCATCGGCTTCCCAGTCCCAATTCTTCTCAGCGACCTTTCAAATACCGAACCTTTCACGCTTCGACCCTCATAATGGCTGAAAGTCGCCGCGAAAGGAGACCCTCTGTTGGAGCTCCCGTCTCCGAGCTTCAGGGCCCTGTTGGTCCCAGCTTCAGCCGCCCCAAGCACAGACGTACTTTCACCGGCTTTGGTCCAGCCGAAATCAAGAGTGTCGAGGCTAGCATCCCTGAGCACCTGAGAGAGGCGTGAGTACCCGGGTTCACCCCTCTTCTTCGGTTACACCAAAGATCCTGGCGGCCGCTTCCCAGAGGGCTCAGGCGCATTTGTAACCGGCCATTGGAAGACACTGAGCTGACCCGTGCGATCTCTTAGGTGGAAGAAACACGTAAGCTCACAGCATATGTACTACACTTGTCAGAGATCCATGGCTAACATTACCCGCTGACTAGTCTATCAATGGCTTTACCAACAAGGAAGACTTTGAGGTAGGCTATAGGCAAAGGATTGGTGATGCCTTCGCGTGCTGATAGCTATGTTAGAGTGAGCTGGTTCGCCACATTGAAACAACATTGGCTCGCTCGCTCTACAACTGCGATGAATTGTTGGTCCCTCCGTCCCAATCCCTCGCGCACCGATAGAGAATCTCATAGTCGTCCAGGGCCGCATACTCCGGAACTGCCTTGGCTTTCAGGGACCGCTTGATTATCGAATGGAACAAGACCCAGCAGCGACAGGCTTCTGCAGATCAGAAGCGAGTGTACTGTACGTGAACCAAGTGATTCTCCTCGGTAGGCAGACCGCTTACTCATATCTCATCCACAGATCTATCTCTCGAATTCTTGATGGGAAGAGCCTTGGATAATGCCATGCTGAACGTCGGCCTGAAGGATGCGGCCCGAGGTAGGCGTTCAATCCGCGGTCGCGACTGCACGAGCCCTTGCTAATGTCATACGCGATGTGTCGCAGAGGGCTTGAAGGACCTTGGGTTCCGTATCGAAGATGTCATCAGCCAGGAGCATGATGCTGCCCTGGGTAATGGAGGACTTGGACGCTTGGCTGCTTGTTTCCTTGACAGTATGGCCACACTCAACTACCCTGCATGGGGCTACGGCCTTCGCTACCGATATGGTATCTTCAAACAGGAGATTGTCGATGGCTATCAGATGGAGGTCCCTGATTACTGGCTCGATTTCAACCCGTGGGAGTTCCCTCGGCATGAGATCACTGTCGACGTCCAATTCTACGGCTGGGTGCGGAAGTACCAGGATGAGAACGGGAAGACCGTGAGCTCGTGGCAGGACGGCGAAGTCGTCCAGGCCGTGGCATACGATGTCCCCGTCCCCGGATATGGCACTCGCACGACAAACAATCTACGACTATGGTCGGCCAAGGCTTCTAGCGGAGAGTTCAACTTCCAGAAATTCAATGCAGGCGACTATGAGAGTGCAGTCGCGGAGCAGCAACGTGCAGAAACCATTTCAGCAGTGCTATACCCTAACGACAGCCTGGACCGCGGTAAGGAGCTCAGACTGAAGCAGCAGTACTTCTGGTGTGCTGCCTCCTTATTTGACATTATTCGACGATTCAAGAAGACAAAGAGATCCTGGAGCGAGTTCCCCGACCAAGTTGCCATCCAGCTCAACGACACACATCCGACGCTGGCCGTTGTCGAGCTGCAGCGCATTTTGATTGATCAGGAGGGCTTGGAATGGGACGAGGCCTGGGGAATCGTCACAAAAACGTTCGGTTACACAAACCACACCGTCCTGCCGGAGGCTCTAGAGAAGTGGTCTGTCCCCCTGATGCAAAGCCTTTTGCCACGACACTTGCAGATTATCTTCGACATCAACCTGTATTTCTTGCAGTACGTGGAGAAGAATTTCCCCGAGGATAGAGACATGTTGTCTCGGGTCTCGATTATCGAAGAGTCCCACCCTAAGATGGTGAGGATGGCATATATCGCTATCATCGGATCCCACAAAGTGAACGGAGTCGCAGAGCTGCATTCAGACCTTCTGCGAACCACTCTATTCAAGGATTTTGTGACCATCTATGGCCCTGACAAGTTCACTAATGTTACTAATGGCGTCACCCCGCGTCGTTGGCTGCACCAGGCAAATCCTCGCCTCTCTGATTTGATAGCTTCTAGACTGGGAGGCTACGATTTCTTGACCGACTTGACCCTTTTGGACCAATTGGAGGCATTTGCCGATGACAAGGCTTTCCAGAAAGAGTGGGAAGAGATCAAGACTGCCAACAAGCTCCGTCTGGCAAAACACATCAAGGAGACAACCGGGTACAGCGTGAACCCGACCGCGTTGTTCGACATTCAGGTCAAGCGTATCCACGAGTACAAACGCCAGCAGCTCAATATCTTCGGAGTCATTCACCGATACTTGAAGATCAAGTCCATGTCCGCCGAGGAAAAGAAGAAGGTGTTGCCACGCGTATCGATCTTTGGTGGCAAGGCTGCTCCGGGCTACTGGATGGCGAAGACCGTTATCCACCTGATCAATAAGGTCGCCTCGGTTGTCAACGAAGATCCCGACGTTGGCGATCTTTTGAAAGTCATTTTCGTGGCAGACTACAATGTCAGCAAGGCCGAGATCATCTGTCCTGCTTCGGACATCAGCGAGCACATCTCGACGGCGGGTACGGAAGGAAGTGGAACTAGTAACATGAAGTTCGTCATGAACGGCGGCTTAATTATTGGTACCTGTGACGGAGCGAATGTACGGAAACCATCCTTGTTTTCTTTTATGGTGGCCATGACAATGACAAATGCTAACATTGGCTGCAGATCGAGATCACGCGGGAAATCGGCGAGCAGAACATCTTCCTGTTCGGCAACCTCGCCGAGGATGTCGAGGAGCTCCGGCACCGGCACCTCTACGGCAACTTCCAGCTGGACCCCCACCTGGCCAAGGTCTTCGAGGCGATCCGCGGTGGGATGTTCGGGGATGTGAACAGCTTCTCGGCGCTGTTGGCCTCGATCGTCGAGCACGGCGACTACTACCTGGTTTCGGATGACTTCAACTCGTACATCACCACGCAGGACCTGGTGGACGAGTCCTTCCGCAACCGCGAGGAATGGCTGTCCAAGTCCATCATCAGCGTGGCGCGCATGGGCTTCTTCTCGACTGACCGTGTCATTAGCGAGTATGCCGAGAGTATCTGGAATATTGAGCCGCTCGTTGTCAAGGATTAAGGCATGATTCGGTTTGCGTGAGTGAAATAGGGCGGGGAAGGAGGAGGTTGTGGTGGTGGGGAGAAGGGAGCGAGGGAAAGACAGCTTCTTCTGTATGGGCTTATGTTTTTGCTCCTGGCATAGTTGTCAATACCGCTGCGCTTGATTTCAACTGATGAGCTTTTACTTCCATCGAGTCTATTCCTTGTGTAGATCTTTGTTCAAGATACGCATCTTTGGCATCAATTCCTACAAGATCGATCGATGCTATGAACAAGATTTAAGTACGTCAGGGAGATCGGTGTAAACAGGCTACAGAGATAAGGTGAGGCCAGGGGAAAGAAAAGTGACCCGAGGAATCTCTATAGCGACACTTCGTATACATAAACGTCCCTCAGTCCCTCAGTCCCTTAGGCGGTTAGCTCGGCCATGCGTTTCTGCAGTTCCGGCACTGCTCGGAGATGAAGATCTAGGTCTTCTTTCTCGCTGTTCGACACAGGATGATTAGCTTCGACCTTGACGAGAAAGCGAGAGGCAAGAGGGGCATGGGAAAAGGGGCAACGTACTCCTCCAACTTCAACCGCCGCTCCCAATCCAGCTTGGTGAAGATGTAGCCGCCCTGGCCGTCGAACTGCAGGATGCGGCGGTGGTACTTCCAGAGGCTGCGGCGGTGGGAGACGGTCATGAGGGTGATGCCGAGGCGCTTGGCGGTCTCGTACATGATGCGCTCGACCTCGAGGGTGACGGAGGAGGTGCACTCGTCGAGGATGGCGTACTGGGGCCGGTGGTAGAAGAGGCGGGCCATGGCGATGCGCTGCTGGAGCCCCCCGGAGAGGACGTCGCGCCACTCCTCCTCGGCGTCCCAGCCGCCGGGCCGGTCGACGACGCCCGCGATCTCGACGACGGCCAGGATGGCGTGCAGGTCCTCGTCGGTGACGCCCTTGGCGCGCATGTCGCGCAGGCCGTCCGGGTAGATCACCTGCTGGCGCAGCGTGCCCCGCGACAGGTACGGCCGCTGCGGGATGTAGAAGATCTGGTCCGGCGGCGGCTTCCGGACCGTGCCGCCGTACACGGGCCACAGGCCGCCCAGGATGCGGAACAGCGACGACTTGCCGCACCCGTTGGGCCCGACGATCAGCAGGTGGTCCCCCGGTCGCACGGCGAAGGAGAGCGCCCGCACCAGGATGTCCCCGTTCGGCGAGACGATGGGCACGTCTCGGAATTCGATCGCGTCGGCGGTTTCGGTCACGGTGCCGCGGGAGGCTAGGGTCGCGGCGTGCGCGGACGTTGAGTCCGTCGCGGACGAGACCAGTTTCTTCTCGAAGTGGCCCGATTGCAGGTCGTCCATCACCTCGAGGAGGGTCGAGACCCGGGCGGTGTGGCCGGCGAGCTCGGAAATTTCCTTGTAGGAGAACATGAGGCGGCCGAAGGCGTCGGAGGAGGAGAGGAGCATGCGGCGGTTGGTGACGAAGCCTGTTTGGTTTTGCATTGTTAGATGGTTCCATGCGATAAAGGTATGAGGGGGGAGAGCCTACTTTCGGTCCGATCACCCATCGTCTGGGTGACTTGGCCGGGGATCTTGAAGAAAACGGGAAGGCCGCAAAGGATCAGGCCCAGAGCGCCCCAGAAGTACTTGATCACAAAGTCTTCCATGAAGCCGTGGTAGAGCCGTCTCCGCAGGATGCGATTCACGTGCTTGATAAGGGTGAAATAGCCCTTGTCGAGAGTGTCCTTCTCGGCTTCGTGGCCGTGGTAGAGCGCGATCTCCTCGCTGTAGTCGATCAGGCGGGAGTGCAGGAACCGGAACTCCCCTTCCAGACGAGCTTCGTCGGCCACATATTTCCCGAAGGGCGGCGTCAGGGCCCGCATGACGTTGGCCGAGACCTGCACCAACAGGCCCATGAGGAAGAGTCCCTCGCCGCCGACGCTCTTGGAGAGCGAGTAGTTGTAGATGGCCATGTCGAGGACGGGCTTGGCCAGGTTGGAGTACAGCTCCGCCAGACTATCGGAAAAGCGGGACACGTCGACCGTGATGAGCTGGTCCGGGTTCTTGACCCGATCGTCTAGGGCGGAGATGGCGTAGAAGGTCATATTCGAGAGGTACTTCTCGTGGATGTAGTCCGTGAGACGCTTGCGATAACTCAGGGCTAATTTGCATTGGTGGTAAGACAGCTGGCGATAAGATCAGTGAGCGGCCCTTTTTCTTTTGTTTGAGCATCATCATGACTGCACTCACCATCGAGTTCGTGAACGTGGCCGGCACCGCGACCATCATCCACCACACCAACCCCAGCAAGAAGTCTTTCCCTTTGCCCCTCACGAGGTTGCTCACCAACCGCCCGTCCAACTCGGCGACATACAGACTCAGCAATGTTCTCAGCACCAGAAATACACTGTGGCCGAACAACAGCCGCAGCTCTTTACTCCTCCACCCCGGGATCACGATCTTGAGCAGCCGCAGCAGATTCCGAAAGAACTCGCGATTTACCTCGACTTTCTTGCGGGGGATATCGCCGCTGCCGTTGGCGTTGGCGCCGTCGCCGAGACTGCTGGTCCCGGGCCGCTTGCTCCGCATCTCCGCCTGTTGCTGGGAGGCGGCTTTCTGCTCGGAGATGGCATTGTGGATGCGTTTGGCGAGGGCAGCAAAGAGGGCTAGATAGACGGCTCGAGAGATCTGTTTGCGGTGGCGGAGGTAGAGGGAGGTGAACTTGGAGAGGAGTGGGCGTAAGGGGAGGGACCAGCGCTCGGGCGGCAGGGAGAGGAGCTTGGACTGGACGGCCATGGCGGCGGCGGCTGGGGGAGTAGGTAGATAGATCAGTTATCTACCGTAGCTGACCAGGGTTGACGACGATAAGGGAAGCATGACACCGGATGGAGAGAGCAATGAGGGAAATGACAATATGGTCAGAAAGTTGGGGTGACGTTCTAGCGGGGAAGGGGGAGGGAAGTAGAAGAACAGGGACAGGGACAGGAGGATGAATGATGAATGACATGTGAAAGACCCGAGTCAGGCGGGAGCGGGTCTTGCCCCGGATTTCCCTGGGCCGAGGATGGGTACGGATGGGGTTCGGTCCGACTCTACTTCCGAGATCTATAATCTCAGCCATAACTGTCTGGAAGATTGTTTCAACTGTATCCTTTATATCACATAGTCACAGGACTAAGTGGAGAGATCGTGCTTTCTTCAGCTCTCTCATCCTTCAGTTCTTTGCTCTATCATGGCCCAGCATGATTCAATCAACTTTGTTCTCTTCGGGATTCCAATGCAGTAGATCATATGACGATGATCCACCTTGAATGTATCAGATTCTCCTGTTGATTGAACTACCAAGCCCTTTACTTAGATGTATATTTCCCCGATGCAAGCAGGCTTGGGATTGTGCACGAATCCCAATTTTCGGACTTGTCAAACGTGATCTCGATGGGCCCAGAGGGGGGGTACAGCGTCAGGCGAATACTAGGTTTCACAGTATCCGGCGTATAAATCCCCACTGAGAACGGTCTTCCTGTTACACCCGAGATTCTCACCTGCGCAGCAAAATGTTTCACAGCAGGCTTGTCGGCTAACTGTAGCCCAGACAGACTGCGGGCAGAAGGGTCCTCTGAGTCCTCCTTTACCTCACTCCCAGCCAGGGCGGTTAGTTCAAACTCGGTGAGCCCATCGCCCCAGCACCGAAACGTGAGGTAGTTGTTGAAGGACGGACGATCGGAGGATAGGACGCCATGAACCAAGATAGGCTCCGACTCGGGCCCCAGCGTGAAACACTTGAGCGCCTTGGTCAAGTCTTTCCCCTGGGGTACGCCACAACGATCAAGTAGCGTCCCCAGCCCTTCGGTCCTGACGCTAGTCACGGCGGAACAGTTCACCTCATTGATTGACTCTGCCCAGCCATAATAAGCCGTCTTATCGCCGGGGTCATGTTGAAGCTTCATGGAGCTTGTCTTGTCCCCACCCATCACTTTGGATGTAATCGTCCGTGTGTCTTGATATTCGCTGAAAGTCGACGTCTTTGCGACACTGCTGCTGGCGCTAAAGTTCGCTCCAAACTCTGCCTTCACGTTGGCCTTGTAATCTTTCTGGCTCTTGAAGGCTGCGTTGCTCGTGTGCGTCTCCAAGCTGAACCGGCAGCCGTACTGGCATCGAAGAATGACGTGAGTGCCAAAGGTATCGAAGAAAGCTCGGTACGCCTGCGTGACGCCCTCGTCTTTCTGCTGCCATGCCGGTAGCTTATTGACTGCTGCGAGAAAGTCTGCGTTCAAGCTGGACTGTTCTCGGCCTAGCGGGAGGTACAGGTAGGTGTAGAATTGATTCTGCTCAATCGACATCACGGCATACATCGAACTCTTATCGATGGTAGCCTCATAGCTGTAGCCTCCACCCGCCTCCACCGACATGGCAGCATACTTGCCTGTGGCGTTGACGTCGGCCTTGAACGATTCGATCAGCTGACTTCCAGTCTTAACCTCCACTTCATTGAGCTCGGTCCCGTTGCCATTGCTGATGAGCTCGACATTGTTTCTGATCAAGACTTGTTGATCTACACCAGGGACCGAGACTTTCTTTGTCGTGGTAGCCAGGTCGAGAACGACGTAATCCTTCCGGGCTTTGACGACACAGTCGATGTCGAAAATATTCGGCCCTGACCTCTGTCGCGTCAGTCGTTTTTGATAAAAAGGGTATCGGTTGTGAAATTGTTTATTCTCGGTCACTCACGATCCAGAATGTTCACAGTGGATCCCAGCAGATTCTGGAACAGCAATTCCTTTTCGCCTGTCTCGTTAACTGCAATGGCAGTTGCCATATTGGCGCCGGATGATACCGTCATGTTCGAGATGTAAAGGATCAACTCAGATACGAAGTCCGAGACTTTTGGGATTTGGGATGATTGGAAGAATACAGGGACACCACCGCCGGTTTATATGAATTTTGGTTATGCTCAGAGAGGGTGGGTTCTTGAACAAACACCTTTCTCAGCTTGTCGCGGTGAAAAGGAAAAAAAAAGTGATCTGCACTTTCAGCTCCGATCTAAGTTGATGGAGCACCTGCCTCTCCTGCTATTCGACGACAAATGTCTAGGTAGGAGTCAGACAAGCTGAGAGGAGCCCTCCTTACCGTCCAACCCCAGAGGATCGGGTCGAAGGGTTATAGTCTAGGGATTGCAGGCAACCACTGCAGACTCGTCATATTCCTAAATCGCGCAAAGGCAGAGCCCTAGCTCAGCTGAGTCCACCGGTGATTGAAAGTGGATCGTTCGCTTGCGGCGGCCCAGTTCAGCTATCATCTAAGGTGTGGACTACTACTAGGTAGTCAGATACCGTGCGTGACCCCTTTCTACATGAGTAGAAAGAAAGTTCACGAGCATGATAGGCTACCGAGGCAACGAGGCAGAGCGCTTTCAATGTCGATCCCTCGGATAACTCGGTGTGTTGTGTCGACCTGGTCTCCCGCTACCCCCACTGGATTCTTGGTATTGGGTAAAAGGTCCTGGGTGACGACTCAGCTCGTGCACTGAGCTTCAGCTTCAGCTTCAGCCACCCCGCTTTCAGTGACCAAATCGGCTCGTCTTGTGATATAGGTACAGAGTGCTTGGGTTGGGGATGGGAGTATTGGTCACCTTGTAGGGAGGATACACTGCAGATAACGTTAAATATGATTACTGAGGATGCACTACGTATATAGTATGGCGTATTTGGAGAAGCTGATCCGTGGACGGTCAAGGAGAATACTTTCAGGAGATCGGACGGCAAATCGACCAGGTCAGTCAGTGGGTCCGATCAGTCACTGCAGGCAAGCCAGCCCTCCCTCGGCAAAGCGCGGTGGATTTCTTGTGCTCCGGAAGTCTTATCCGCCCCGAGCTGACCGAGTGAGTGAGTACATACAGTACATACTTGGTAGTAGCCAAGAAGGTAAGCAAGAATTTTTTGATTTTCGGAGCAGGGAAGACGAGGAGGGCGCAATCGAGTAAAAATACTATCAGACATCAAGATAACCGATCTCAAGGATTTCCTCCACGGTCATTCTTCTGGAAGGGTCCGGTTGTAAACTCACATAGAGAAATATTACATCGTTTTCTGGTACCCCCAAAGAGCACAATCGTTCCGTCCAATGCTCTCCATTTCCAACTTTATCTTCACATCTTCCAGAACCGAGAAATCACAATCGCGGAAGTACTCATTCTCACGGAGGTTGAAGTCATGAGTCAGAAAAGCTTGGACTGCCTTGGCCTTTTGCTCGAGTGTCCCACCCTTGAGTATGGCATCATAGATCCCAGGCGACGCAAATTCTATCCGTGCTGGGAGCAAGTGGGAAAACTGTTGAAGAGTTAGGGAGAGACTCATGATTATGAGGGTTATAGACTGACCACAATCCCCCAAGCCCAGACATTAATGGCGCTGTTCCACGGCTTGTTGAAGTAGACTTCCGGACTCCTATAGATTAACCCCGTTACTTGACCAATGGCCTGGGGTCATTACTGCAGTGGTCTAGTTGTAAGCAACACACAAAATATCACGGGTGTGACAGGATCCTGAGATCCTCCGTGGTGCCGAGTCATCGTTGCAAGCTGCAACGTTATCAAATCCATTCAGCAGAACATTTTCCATTTTGAAGTCTTTTAAGCATTCTTCGTTCAATTCATTGATTATATCATGTATAGACTTACCGCAGTGCCCAAAACCCTGGCTGGGTATATCCTGCAGTCCTAATAATGCCGACTCCATGCTATGGTTCCAACAGTTAGACCAAAAATGCACCACAATGCGGAATCCAGCCCAAACCCATCATCCACGGCCATACCCCTTTAACGGTTCGACCGACACTGAGGCGGATTCGGGCCTGTCCGCATCCATCATGGTCGGTCTTCTTCGGTCTTGTTGGGCCCCTTTCCGTGGCGCGGTATGCTTGACCACGTCCGTTTCTATCGGTGGAAGAGATTGAGAAAGCGCCCCCAATGCTCGCGGTGGAACACCAGTCTGGGATTCGACACCTGAACCGTACAACATCCCAATCTACCGTGCCCGCGATCACCCCTCTCCGCTCCCTTGTATCGGCTTTTCGAGGATCTCTGCGCGTGTGACTGTGTCAGGATGGGCTACGAGTGCACACCTACTTCTTTTTCCATGCGGAGCCTCGCTGGGCATTGGCCTGTATCCCAGATCCCCGGGACCACGATCCTATTCGATATGCGATCCTGGCCAGCATGGTGGAACCGCTGGTGGATGCATTCAATGCGAGGCTGGAACTCGGCATTCGTCGGAACCATACAACAACAGACAGATCGGAACAATGGAGTGCCAACTTCGCAAGGGAGGAGGCACCCTCCTGGACTTCAAAGGTTGGCACCCTTGTGGAACCGTTAGTTTTTAGGGAGGCCGGTTGCCAGGTCTCTGATATGACGATGAAACGGCATTTTCTGATGAGGAATATCAAGGCCCCGAATGGATATTTATATACAACATAGTACAATACATATAACATGAAGATCCAAATTCATAGGCGACGGGCAACGGCTCGGCCGCCTTTAATCATGTATTTAGGGATTACCCATGACACATTACTCTTGCAAGAAATTCATCATTTGTCACCAAGTCCCAAGAATAGCCCATTCTCGATGGAGGCGCTACCATAAGTAGATTACAAGCCAATATGAAACCACTTAAGAACCAAAAAAAAGTATATACATCGCTGTGCTAAATTCCCCCTCCCATGATCAAAATCCCAAAATGCAGTTTACAAGAATGTAGCCGGCTACCCGACTCCCATGAAGACGTAAATAAATCAGATGGCCAACATAGAACGAAGAGAAAAACCCCATCCCCAACGAGGCAATAGTCGTTGAGGACATAAGGGGTAAAGATAGAAAGTACACCCCTCTGTCAACAGGGTGGTGAACGATCAGACGGCGGGGCCTGATTTGTCCGTTGAAACGAACCGGGCAAGGGAGACGAAGACCTCTTGCCGCTATTGAACTGCGCGGCGATCTGGCTCTGCCGGAACTTCTCGAAGGTCTCGGATTCGTGTTTTTGCGCCGCCCAGAGCTCGTCCACCGTGGTGCCGAGATCCTTGAATGCCTTGGCGGCGTTCACGCTCTCGAAGTTCGAGCGCATTTGCTCCACGTGCAGGCGGTCGAGCTTGTCCCGCAGGGCCGCGATGTGCGATTCGTCAAACGTGAGAGACGACGGGTCATCGTCCGTCGCGTCGAAGGACGGGCCGAGGAAATCCCGCCGCAGATTCTGGCCCAGACGGTGCACGTGGCCTTCCTCGTGGGTCATGGCGCGCGAATGCAAGGAGGTAATCGAGCTCGCCCGGGAGAGGCGGACCGCGTACTGATGATCATCCTCGTCGTCCGCGGCGGCCTCGCCGTCGCCATTCGCGGCGTTGGGAGGTGTGCCATCGCCAGCGGGCGCCCCCCATCCATCTTCGCCCGAGTTTTGAGAGCTGGTTTCGGGGAAACTGTATGGGATTGCCTGCGGTACAATCCGCGTCTCGGGATATTCGTCTTCGAATCGCTGGATTATCCTCTGCAAGGTGAAATCCAAGAACTGAAGACGCCCTAGTGAGAATAGAAGGTTAGTGCAGGTCGCGGAACGAAGGGAAGGAACAGATCTTACTGTAATTGTTGTCATTGCCAGCCCGGTCTTCACGTACTAGGGCCGACTGAATACGGGTCCGAATGTTGCGTGCAGACTCCAGTAGGTTTCTAGACATGTCCCGAGGCTTCCTAGTGACAAAGGACCGAGATTTCCGGTGTCGAGGCGTCGCTGTGCCACTCGGAGGGCCAGATTGGTCCCCTGGCAGGGAGCGGTCGAGATTACCAAGGCAGACACCCAATGCTTTGACCACGCCGGTACCACCGATAACATAGTCTTCATCAGGCGCCGGCTCGTCGTCCTCCTCAACAGCTTCTTCTCCGGCACCATGACCAACGATATGCTGCAAAATCTCCGGAACATGCACGGTTGAGCGTGTGGCCGAAATGTCAAAAGAGTCCGAAAGCTCGACCGCCATGGCACCTTGTTCAAGATTCTGGAGAGAGTAGGCAACGATCTGAGACGCCAGAGCCTTGACAACTTCATTGTTCTCCACAGTTGGAACTTCAATGTCAACAGCAATAATGGTGCGAGACACGCGCACTGCTGCCATCAGCGACGCATAAACCGCGCACGCCTCCTCCTGGGTCGCAGGATCAGTTGCTGAGGCCAGGGCCGTAATCAAGGGATTCTCCAGGATGTTGAGATGGCATAGACTCGGGCACTCCGGCAGAACCTCGGCTAACGCGATAGTCTGATCAGGTGAGAGGTTCACATCAGCGAGATGAATCCGTTTGAGCGCAGGCATTTTGGGAAGGAAACGCCTAAAGGTTGGCAATGCGTCGGGCTTCACAGTGAACAGATCCGGATTATGCGAGAAATCGACAAAACGAAGATCAGGCAGGCATGCCAGTTCTTGCAGCAATGGATAGACCGCAGTGGGCGTGAGCGAACAATCGGCCAGGCTCAGCGCATAGAGCGGGTGGACGTCAGAGACAGCAGATGTGATCAAGTCGAGGTGATCCCGTATCGGATTACCGCCCAAATCGAGACCCTCGCATTTTCCGGCCTTCAAATAGCGCCCAACATGTTCCAGGCTCTCCCGCGAAAGCCCGTTGTTGGCGAACCCCAGCCTCCTCAGTCCTACAGTGGTCGCTGCATCGCAGATCCGCTGAGTATCCTCGATTGTCGGGTTACACTCACTGAGGAGAAGTTCCTCAAGGTGGTCCCCGCCAAACCGCTGTGCGAGCGCGTTGGCAAAGACAGCTGTCAACTCGGTGGAGGCTGTGGTGCAGTTCCCAGGCTGGACTGCCAACTTCCCGGAAGAAGTGATAGGAATAGGTACCCGGGGTAGTGGGATGCCAGAGAGATCAATGGCCTTCAAGGACTTTGAAAGGTGGACAAACAGACAGATATGAAGCCATCCCTCCGTCCCGATTTTAGGGTTGCCCTTCAGTGACAACTTTTCAATGACGCTGAACCTCTCTTCCTTATCCGCAGACTGGACCTCGGTTTTAGTGCCTCGTTTGCGTTTGCCCCACATGTGCTCAACCGTCCGCGTGGAGAGCAACGCAGCAAGAATTGACCGAACCGGGTCATCCGTCAAGGCACACTCTTCCAGAATAAGCTTTCGAACTGGAACAACAGCCAGCCAGTCACAGAACGTAGCTATGTCCTCAGATGTCATGGGAAAATTGCTCAGGTCAAGCACAGCCACGGTGCCCGGAGACTCCGCCAGAGTAGAAGACGGCTTGGATATCTCATCCACGATCCTTTTCAGCACGGGCGTTTCACGTAACTGGCAACAGCGCCGATAGATTCGAACAGGATCCGTGGTCGGGTGACTTTGTGTCTTGGGACGACCTGTGCTAGACGCAGGTGTGCGAACGCCGTACTCCTCGCCGTCAGCTGTCAATTGCATCGGGATCGTGCCATTGGCTTCTGCCTGTCTCCGCCTCCTCTCTCTCCGCTCCCTGCGCTCCTCCTCTGATCTCTTTTTCTTCTCCTGTTTCCTGGTCGGTTCTTTGCTCTCCCCGTTGGGCGTCGATTCAGTGGCGGCTGTGTCAGTCGAAACCGTAAGTTTTCCATTAACAGATTGTTCTTGAGCATTTCCTTCTTTGACAGGCACTGCAGCTTGTGCGGATTTGGCCGGAGTAGTCTCATTCTTGTCCTTTTTATCCTTTGATTTCGAATTCGACCTCTTGACTTTTGAGCCAGTCAATTCCGGGACGATCTGATGCTTGCTGTTGATCGCCGGGGCTTCCTCATCCGACTCTCGATAGGAGAGCCCCGCAATCTCCACGTCGACACAGAACGCAACGCGCCGCAACTTCGCTTGGTTGAGATCGGCAACCTTGCATCTATCCCGATCTGGGTCGATGTTCATCACCCGACGCGGACAAATGGACCCGTTGGTGGCCAACTTGCCCGATCCGCCGGCCGAGGAAGAAAGCTTCCGGAATGCGTTCGACAAGAACGAGGGGCCCTTTGGAGAGGTGGAGGCGAAAGGGCTATTCTCGTCCTTGCGCTCCTCATCCTTATCCTTCGGCGAGTACGCCGCACCGAACGGGTTGTGCGCATCCATCTTGGAGACGGGGGAAGTCGCCTTCGTGCTTGGTGGTGCTTTCATGCTCGATTGCGAGGGAGGCGTCGAGCCCGAGGAGAACCTCGAGCTCAGGCTGGAGATCCACGAGTTTCGCCTCCCCCCGACGGGGCGCGGAGCACTTTTTTGCGGCTGCGAGGCAGGCGAGGCACCGGTCGGTTTCGCATCCACCGCCCCCGCCTTTTCATTTGCTGCTTTATTCACCTCCTTCCCATTTTGGGCGGCCACGCTGGTGGGTGCTGTTGCGGAAACGGGCGGGGGCGATGGGGCATGGTTCTCTGGAGGAGGCTTCTTTTCCGCGTCACATTGTTGCGGGGGTGTCGCTCCTCCTCCGTCCGGTATCGACTTGTCGCTGACCAGGGATGAGGCCGATTTGCAGCGGGATAAATGGTCTGCCGTCCGGAGAATGGGTGAGTTCCACAGACATGACATTGCATGCGAAAGACGCCCCAAGTACAGGGCACACGATCGGACTCACCTTTCTGCGAGTGATGAAGCCAGCTGACATCCACAGTTTCTACCCCTTCCATTTTGACCACCGGTGCGTTTGTGTTGCGAGTGTGGTTGACTGTGACGTGATCGAGCAAAGGTAGGATTTGGTGGAGAGGTTAAATGAGGGCTGCACCTGCGAACTTCGAACCCAAGCACCAACCCGTCGAACAACAAAAAGGATGAGACGATGCGGTGGCAATGGTCCGTTCAGAAAGGCAGCAGTCAACGTATGGTCGAAGAATGTTGAGTGACGGTAGACCAATGGAAAAGCCGAGGAATGCGCAATGCAGATCAGTAGTAGTAGTCAAGTAGGATTATGAACGGCGACGGCGGGTAAGTTCCATCATGACATGACGGCGAGACACAGCGGACATGACGGAGCTGACGGTGTGGGGTTTGGGGTTTGTCACGCAGTTGCGATCGTGAGGTGGATAAGAAATAAATCGCGCATTAAAGGAAAGGTGTAGAATGAATCGTAAAAGGGGGGTGGAAGGAGAAAGTAAAGTGGACAAGGAAGGGAAGAGAAAGTCAAGTTAAGTGAGGGAAGCAAAGGGAATATCAATCTATGGGACGATGGAGACGGGGTAGTTTAAGGAAGAACAGGAAAGGTGCGGACTTTGCGGGCAACAGAACCAGAACGAGGCGATCGGGAGGATGGGGGGAGGGGCGCCGATTCGAGACTAGACTAGGAAAGTAGCATGATTATCCATTAGTCGGTAGTCGGTGGAGAAAAGGAGAGGAAGAGAGAGGATCACATACTCGAGTTCTTTACGGAGTACTCTACTCTCTTCTTGGGTCTTTTCTCTCCCTCGCTCTTTTTGTTTTCCTTTTTTTTTTCTCTCTAATTTTCCCTCTTTCTGTGCTGTTAGAAGGCACGGAAGGGAATGGAAAGGTCACGGGTGGTAAAGGTAGGTAACTAACCAACGTTACTTGACTTTGATTAGTAGTAAAGGGTTGAGGTAAAGCTAAGCTAAGGGTAACTGACTTACCGAAGATACTAGATTACTAGTAAACTTGGTAGGAATTGGGCTACTCCGCTGGGCTGCAGTCTAGACAGACAGACGGGTTCGTTTGTAAAGCTCGTAACCCTCGTATTATGCAGCCACGGCCGATGACGGAGACATGGAGACCAGACCCATTCATCGCCCAGTGATTGCTTGCCACCCTTGCCTGTTTCCCTCGTCACTCTGCCAAGCCTGACCATACCATACCTAACCTACTGCGTACTCTACTGGATTGGAATCACACCAGAGAAAAAAAGAGAGAAAGAGAAATCGATTCGACTCCATCAATTACATCCTGTACAGCACATGTAAAGTATGACTTCAGAACCGTTCTTCATATGAAGATATTGTTACCCACCACCTGGCAGATGCGCTGTCCGCATTTTGCCTGCCTCTCTTCCCGCCTCGACCTATCAGAATCGCACTGAACCCCGTTTCCCGTTCTCAATTTTTGTACCTCCCCCGGCACATGACCTGGTCACCTTACTACTATTGTACAGCTACTACTGTAGTCATGTGCTTTGCACGCGACCCGCTCTGCGTCATGGAGTCATTCATTCAGCTGCTGACTACCACTGACGCTCGTCGCTTGCATAATTAGGCATGTAGCTAACAATTAAGCAAAAGTGTAGCCCACCTCAGCCAACCAATAAGGCCTTCCGTGGGTAGGTATGCGCTGTACTTCCACGAGTGGTGATGATGATGATGAAGAAAATGCTTGCCTGTTCATCAAACAAAGCAACCCTGTCAACAAGGTGCAGACTGCAGAAAAAGCTTATTGACACCGGCCGATAATAATAGCCCTTGTAACTGATCCATTGAGGTAAAATATGAATAAAGTCAACAACAATTAACTTTTCAATCCACAGATGACGAGAGGGCTCCCATGGCGGCTGGGCTTCAACCCTGGGCTTCCCGGGTAGGACAGAAACTTTATCAGCGTTGCTTATTCGCGCCTCGGCCAAGCCTTCATCATTATATCATAGACAAAGAGATTGGGCCAAAGCGTAAGGTTATCTCTAGATTATATCAGAGGGTAGCATCATTACAAATGTCGAACTGAGGGTCAAAATCCATCATCATATCCCAGGGCGAGCAGGCCTCACAACTTCGAACCCTTTCGTCTTCTTCCTCGACTTCCACGACGATCGCCAGAGCCTGTCCTCCCCTGTGGCACAGGCGTTTTCTGTTCGTTCTACCCGAGCATTGACCTGCGATGCCATCGGCCGACCGTAGTATTGGTCGGCCTCGCGTTTGGAATAATCGCCGTCGCCGCTGACGGTCGTCGTGTCTTCGTCCAGGATGCTCAGGTCAACAGAGTCCATGCTGGACTCCACCGATTCATCCGAGCTGTGAGACTGCCTTGGGAGGGTGGAGAACTGGTGCGACGACATACAGACGGGAGTCATGGGCCGTGGAGCCCGAAAGTACGATGGAAACTCATTCGTGCTCGGCATCCCTGTGGTTTGAGGATAGGCTGAGGTGGCCTTCATTAGCATATCACAGTCGCCAAGATACCATGTCCCGGACAATACACACCCACAGGACGAAGCTCTGAGAGCTCCGTGAATGAAGTCTTCCGCGTGGACCGTTGCGAAAGTTGACCAATTCCATAAATCTAGAAAGAGACCCCTTAGTCATTCGGGCTATTGGTTGTCTGAGATGCATCCACATACCGGTGCTTCACGAGGTCGCACGAGGGGGCCACCATGGGAGTGCACGATTCCCGCTTTCCGAAGTATGAAAAGTGCTATGCTTATCATGCATGGAACCAGAAACCCGAAGAACATCATCGTTGCATATAGAAACAGAATACTGTATGCCAGTATACCTTGGTTGCGCTCGGTTGCCTCAGACTGCGGAAGGAAGGTACAGCTCATAACAAGGCTGGCAAGCCTGCCGATCGAAAAGCAGGCAGGTCTCCAGGCTGGAAAGTCCTGGCAGTTCCAAAGCAGGCAGACGAGATTGGTTGTCTCGCATATGATGAGAACCACAACCTGGGCAAGGCCCGATCGTTGCAATGCCCCGATCGCGATGCCTCTTACAATCGGAATGCCGTACAGAACACCGAAAATCCACGTTCCGGAATGATGTCTAGGGAACAGGCTTCCATGGGAGAAGGCCCATTGTCTGTTGGTCTTGGTCAGATACCGCACGGTAAAGCCCAAAGACACAGCAAGGAGGCCAACAAGCAAAACCGCGAAGAAGGTACGGTAAGCCGGGTACCATGATGATAAGAGGAGTTGACTCGTGGAGAAAGTAACAAGCGGAAAGAGGAAATGGTCGAGCACGGCTCGAAGGATACTCCATCCTGTACGCTGGCATTGAGTCAAGGATTCTTCCTGAAGGTCCGACAGCTCAATCGCTTGTCGCCTCCGAAGAAACCTCGACGCCCATTGGAATCCGAACGGGACTTGCACCAGCGCCACGATCCCCACGACGACGAGGAGCAGGTTAACAATCGCATTGACCCAGAGATCACTGATGGTGGTCCCGCCCAGGACCTGTGTCATCTCCTCCAAGCCCCAAGTCGAATTAGTGGCATAGATTCCATCCTCAACACCCGGGTAGGCGAATCCATGTGTGACAGGCCAATTCCGGAAGATGAGCGATGACCAGGCCAACTCCCCGACAATCCCGCGGAAGAAGCCCGGGTATGAAAGCGACAAACAGCTGGTTAAGAAGATGAACTGAAGAAACTGAAGACAATCGCCTAGTCCTTGTACGTGGGATTGGGCTGGGTCACGGGATGGGTCGGCCAGCTCGTACCGAAACATGCTTCTTCCATTGGTATGAAAGAGCCTGAGCGGGCCTGTAGCGATTCCAAACAAGACCATAATCAAGAATGGAAGAGCTTTCATTAACCTCGATGTCACTGAGCCGATGTAAGGCGTGATATGGGCAGTGATACAAGTTATTTCCTGGCCGTCCAACCGCAGATGGATGGTTGTGTCTAGTGTGTGCAGGGCATAGGAGTGGTTGAGATAGTAGGAGGTCTCGTAAATGGCATATTTGTGAAGGCCTCCAGTCAAGTGATCCTGACTGTGGCCTTGATTCGACATACTGAAGTGCTGCCCATAAGGATTCTCGGCACATCTGCCCCGACTTTCTCCCTGAAAGCCTACTGAACCGCCTAGGACACTTGCATCCACCACCAACTGTGCCAGAGACCCATTGAGAGAGTTACAATCGGCTTCATAATCCCCCGTTAGCTTGAGAAGTAGCGTTGGGCCATCATGGTCTGAGTGGACCAGGGAACCAGTTAAGGATTGCTGCTGAAAGCTGATGGCATCAACGGATGCAGCAATGGCAGGATTGCAATCCCAGCGGCGAACAAAGGCGGCCTGCGCCCATGGCAGCAGGAATAGAGCCCACGGCAGAAGAGGCAACATCAGATATAAGACATGCCAAACCAGAACCAAGATTAGGCATGGTATGGCCGGATGACGAAGGGGGAGGGGGGGGAGGGAGAGGGAGAGGAAAAGAAGAAGATCCAAGAGAACGTATGAAGAAGATCCCCTATCATATCAGGGAGCGTACAAAGTGGGCAGTGTAGAATCGAACTACTCCACCGGGGCAGGCAGCCTGCCTCCAGGGGACGGCGGCACCGCCGAGCCTCGGGAAGAAGACCAGACAGAAGAAATTTTCTTCTGGTGGCCGTTAGTCTAGTAGTGCCCGGTCGATGGGCGATGGATGTGGGGAGCAGCAACCCAAAATAGTAGGGGATTCTCCCGTCCACGGTCCATTCACGGTGGCGCCGTTGCAAGAGTACTATTTACAGTATAGTGTGTCTCAGTCCCAGGGCTGAACATTTATCAGCTACCAGGTACATTCTGCAGATGCAAGTCACATCTTCCGGTACAGTAGCAGATCACCTGGCACCTGATATTATACACCTAATGTTCTCAGTAGAGTATCAAGTATCCAAATATAATATACCAAGGACAGGGAACAGTCCTCAACATGCATGCATTAGCGTCTTGTCCCACCTTCCGCGTCGCTTGACCACATCTGCCCACTCTAGTCATCTACAACACTGCCAGCAATCAATGATACCTTTCCCATGGATACCAACGCACTTGTCGATCTCATTCACGAGGTGCAGGGCCAGCTCTAGGTGGACCAGGTGAACGAAACCTACAGAACAGGCCATCTCTGCCGCTGGGTGTCGACTTTCCATCCCAGACAGCTTCCCTGTCAACTTGATGGCACCTTTCGCCATGGCGCGTACAATGCTGGCATCAAGATGGTCTTCAGTGACGGCGCTGATTGGATGGTTCGTTTCCCTCGCGTCGGAAGGGTCTGTGACGACTACACCGACGAGAAGGTTGCCATGGAGGTTACGGCCCTGAAACCTCATCCACAGTAGCATTACGATCCCGGTGCCGAAAGTCCACGCGTGGGGTCCCGCTACCAACAACCCGCTCGGTCTCGGCCCGTTCATCATATCATCATGGACTTCATTCACGGCGTGAGCCTTAGCGACCTTCTCCGAGCCCCTAGCGCCTTGTGCCCCACCAGAGTAATGCGGGAGGACATGAGCGATCGTGACATCGAGATCATCTACAGGCAACTGGCGAACTTCTTGCTCCAGCTATTCGAGCTCGATTTCGACCATATTGGCAGCCTGCCATCGCCGCAGGATGACGACCAGAAGAGTCCCACGCTGCTGCGACCGCTAACATTCAAGGCACATAGCATTCTGCAAAATGGGGGAGTGAACACGTTCGGTACGTCTGGTCGCCTTGACTTTGAGCCCCCAAAGACGCTGTGACGGGAGTGCGTTAACGAAGCCACGGATGGTCCAGGTGACCGAACCCAGGGATTTGCGACGACGACGGAGTACTTCCAATATGTCGCCAATCAAGACTTGGGGCAGCTCATTCACCAGCCAAATTCAACCGTTGGCTTATACGACGCGAAAAACAAATATGTGGCGTTTAAGGTACTGAGAGCACTGATACCAGACTTGGTCAATGCCAAATATGACCGCTACAAATTCAAGCTGATTTGCGATGATCTCGGTCTGGCGAACCTGATCGTCCGCGGCAGAGACGACCTTGCTGTTGTCGGTGTAGTAGACCTCGAGTGGTCGTACATTGGCCCCGCGCAGCTATTCGGCTCGGCACCGTGGTGACTTCTCCAAGACAGGCCCGTCAACAGCACATGAGACTTCACCGGCGACGAGCCTCCCGAGATCGCTACCCGCTACTTCAGATGCCTAGACATCTTCATAGACGTGTTGGAGGAGGAGGAAGCGAAAATGCCAGGGCATGAGAAGCGAGAGCTCTCCAGTCTGGTAAGATGGTCGCGTGCCTCTGGGGCTATGTGGCTGCACATGCTTCTCTCGTCTGGTTTCAATGGCCATCGCTCATTCCCTTTCACCCAATTACGCCGACATCTAGGACCCGCGGAATGGGCGAGGCGCGAGAGCGAATTTGACAACGCGGAAGAGCTCGAGGCCTTGGCGACCCGGAAGGTGCGAGATCTAGACCAGTATGATGAAGCCGTAGAGGCACTGGAGGAGCGCAAGGCGCTGGTGGACGACGGTAGAATGACACGGCACGAGTTCTTGCGCCACGGATCTTCTCTCGTCTGACTCCGAGCAACCCATAAGGCTCGGAACTAGATCGTAATTAGTCTGGTCACGCCAGGACAGTACAGTACAGTACCTACTCCATTTGAGGCATTTTTCGAACTTGTTTCCATACCGATGGCCGGGGGTACTCTACACCCACCCCCTAATATCATCGGAATATGGTGCCGGGACTCGATCAAAACCCGTATATCCGAAGATAGAGAGGGTAGGTTGATGCCGGCCGGGACGGACGGGCCCAAGGGGTTGACGGCTAGGGCGGCCGGGGGGTTTCGAAGAATCTGCCGGATTTGGTAGTACGCTCCGGGGATCAGCCTGGAATCTGGATGGGTCGAATGCCGCCATTATTCATGTTGCCGAAGAACAATGCATGGGGTAAACTGATGGAGAGGAGTGGCATTATGTCTGACAGGCGATGATATACATAACGCACCTCCGTCATTTGACATAACGAGGGTTCACATATGATAGTCAAGAAATCATGCAAGAACTGCATCAGAACCACGGGCAACGATCGTGGCATGATAAGTATATCGCAGGTACTCGATACATCTTCTACGCTACGGCTACGCGGTTCATCGGAGCAAATATAATGAGAGGGCTGGTTGTTGAAACCGGGAAAGAAAATCGTATTGAAGGGAGGTAGTTGCTCCGAAAGAACCATGGACATAGACAAAAAAAACTCCGGTCGTAACAAGAGTCTCGAATCAGACTACTTGGGGATATCACAAATTGAAGATGGTTAGTAAGAAGAAAAGACACCCAGGTCACCGTTTTTTGGATTTGTGTTAAAAGAAGATTTTTAACTTTTGTTTGTGACTATCGCACTTCACGCATGCATCAAGCACGAATGGCCTCCACAACAAAAATCCATTTAAGCGGCAAGCTCGCGGATCTTCTGCTCAACGCGAGCCTTGCGCTCGTCGTGGGTGAGGCGGACCTTGCGGAACTTCTTGCTCTCGGCCTTCCACTCCTCCTTGGTCTTCTTGGAGTCGGCATCCTCGTCCTTCTTGAAGGGATCCTCGCGGATGGCCTTGTGGGCCTCGGTGTAGAGGTCCTCGATGTCACCGGCCTCAATGCCAGCCTCGGTGTACTTGTGGAACTGGCCACGGAAGCGCTCCTCGTCGTCATCGGCGAGACCCTCCATGTACTCAGCGACGTGACCGCCGAAGATGTAGTTGCGGAGAGTCTCAGCGTCGAGCTCCTCGGACTCGATGTCGAAACCGGGGAAGCGGGACTCGGAGTGGGGGACTATGGAGTTTCGTTAGCACTGAGGTCGGTTCCAATGGATACGGTGCGGGAACTTACCGAGGACACCAGCGTCAGAGCAGCCCTTCATGGCACCGAAGACACGGGCACCGGTGGAGGTACGCTATGAGAAATGGTTAGCTTGGTTCAAAAGCTAGGCAAGATCCAGGTTTCGTTCGGGGAAAACTCACGGCAAGACCGACGTCGAGGACGACCTTGAAGGGGCGGCGCTCGCCATCATCAGTCTCAGCGGCCTCGGTGAGAGTGTACTCTCCATCAGCCTCCTCAACACCAGTGAAGGTCTCGTCGAGGTTGAGCTTCTTGAGGGCACGGCGACCGACAAGGAGACCAGTGGCGTAGGCGGCAGCCCAGTTGGTCAGACCGTTGGTGATGCCATAGCGCTTGAGCTCGTGGGAGTAAGCAGCGGCGAAGACCTTGTCACCGGAAATCTCGGAGTAGACGATCTGGCAGATGACTGTGCCGGAAGTCAGTCAAAATTGGTTTCCCAGGTAGATCGGTCGAAAAGCGGAGTAGACATACCGTCACGGTTGGTGAAGCGGACGACCAGGCGGTACTTGGGGGCGTTGTACTTGTTCTTGGCCTGGGTGATCAAGCGCTTACGAGCATAGTAGTCGGTCTTACCCTCGCGGCGACGACGGTACTTAGTCTGGTAGCGGCTGTGGGATTGATTAGTATCTCAGACAATGCGACCGGCAGATTCAGAACCAAAAGAATCAAACTCACCTGTAGTAAGCGCTGTTCTTGACCTGCTTGTGGAAAGGCTAGATCGCGAAAAACAAGCGAGTCAGCAATTTGCGCTTCAGAAAGAAATCCGACTTGTCCGAAGCATCTTGCAAAGACCCGAAATTTCGTCCCACAAATCCCGCCAGGGCGGGGGTGGTGGTGGGAAAATCGAAATCCCATTGGGAGATGAAGGAGCAGTCGAGAAGAATCGTGAATCGAATTGTCCGATTGCAACGATCGCTAGAACGAGGTCTAACTCACCATTTTGACGGTGACCGGGTGATGAGGACCGAGTTGTCGACGTTGGCTGCTAAGGAAGGAGGAGGGAAAATTCGTGGGCTGACTTTGTGGAAGGCCTCGCTTAGCGCTGCCTGCATCCCGGCCACGAATTGCGGTTGGCGACGAGCGGGCGGCCGCCGCTGCCAGCCTTGGCCACCCCAGCTTTAGGAAAGTATAGAGAACACCAAGTATACCCCCGCAGCATGCCAACGTGCAATAACCTGATCTTCTGACTCAGATTGATCGCTGAAGCTATTCTAACAAATATTGACAAATATATTACCTCGAAATCTCTACCACAGAAAATTTTACTAGCGGTGATAATCAACAGTGTTAGCAATAGCAAGAGGTCAAACCAGCCTCTAACTTATAGTCGCGACTTATCCGATCCTGCTTGTAATTGGAGACCAGTCATCTTCTCCAGCTCGCGAACAGCGTCTTGCGTTCGTCCGAGGTTCACCTTCAAAGTCCGCATCCCCGCCTTCTTGGCCCCCTTCAAGTTCTCCCCGATGTCATCGAGGAAGACCACATCCACTGCGTGCAACTCGCCTTGACCTTTCTCCTTGGCGATTCGATTCATCTCCCGCAGGGCCGCTTCATAGATCTTCTGGTCCGGCTTCCGAAGACCTGTATGCGCTGATGAGATGAAAAAGTCAAACTGGGATTTCTTCTCGTCGAGATCACGATTGTACGGATGTCCGTCCGGGAAGATGACGGTATTCGACAAGGCCCCCAAGATGAATTGCCCTGACTCCTTCAATCTCTTCAAGGCCGGAAACATATGAGGGTCCGGCGTTCGCGATACCCTCATCATCTCCCAGAACAGAAACTCCGCATCGATCTTAGGCACCGGAGGGGTGGGCGACTGCGTTCCGGTCGGGTTTTTGCTCTGGATCTTCTCCTGGAATTGCTTCCAGAGACTCGGGTTCTGTAGGTCATTCTGGAACCCGGCGAAGAAGTCGGCGTCCATCTTGATATCCCCACGTTCTAAGCGGTGCCAGCTGCCGTTGGGCGCGGTACGCGAGATGCTGAAGTTCACCCATCCTGGAGGGATGTTGTGGGCAAGCTCGTAGTCCAGAATCGCCTGGAAGGGGGAGAGGACCTACTGCTCATTAGTATCTGGCTGCTCAGAGATCTGGGTCTGCATGGAGAGGTGCCTCGGCCTTACACACACTCCTCCGATGTCGAACAGGAGGCCTCTAGGTCGTTGGGTGTCTGACATGATGATTCCGTGCAGCTCAGCGCAGCTTAATGTAAGTTGAGTGAAGTCGCATCCGTACTTCAGCGAGCGTCAAGTCAGTAAATGTAGGATGCGCTGCCGATCGATGCTGGAATCGATTTTCTGTCCTGCGGAGTAATGCCAGATTGCCGAGGTTAGATAGATGACCTGCAATGGCGCTTTCTCATCGATCAATGCCAATCAGCCCCATTTGGGGATCGCCTCGGCTCTCAGGTGGCGGTGTTCATTGCATAGTACTAGATTGAGCTGCGAAATAGTCTGCAGGTCTCCTGAGGATGCAACAAATGCAAGGAGTTGATGTTAGATCATCCGGTCGTTGTAAGGGTGAAGTCGCAAAGGATCACGTGGCCGCGTTATCGATAGGAAGGCGGCACGCGTCGACGGCGAGAATCAATTGAGTCTCCTTCGATCTCAAAACCACCGACGCATCGTCATTATGGGGCCATGGACTCGACTCGTACCATTTCCGAGTTGAAGTCATCCTTCATCCGAGCGCAAGTGCGCATTTTATCTGAAAGCCTCCAGCCGCCCGAGGATTGGCGACATTATGCGTCCGAGGCCACCGAGGATGAGCTGAGCGATAAGGTGGTCGGGGATGCTCTTAAGAAACGTGAGTACTTGTCTCGAGTTTCAAATTGGTGATTTTCTTTCACTCCAATTACTGTTTCTATCTTGCCTTGGTCAGGACTAACTCGGCCACAGTCAATGCGTCTCTGAAACAACACAGTCGGATCGTTTACTCGTCGCAGGCCATTCAACATGTCGCACAGCAAATCGCACGTCTTTACTGGTCCTCCGTGAATGAATCGATGCGCGACCGGGGCTCTTTGCTCCAAGGGGTGGAAGAATCTGTGGATTTATCCAACCACATGTGAGCTACGCCTCAATTTCCCAGCTCCGAGATAAGACTTTTGGAGTTTGACGGTCTGACTGTATCCCAGGAATATTGCGCAACTGCCGCTGGAATTGGAGGATCCGAATGCGAGTGACGAGGACCGAGCAAGGTATGGATTACATCGGTGGCAGGTTTCAATTGCACCTGGCTAACAGTAGTACAGATACCAAGAACTACGCGAACGTCTAGTCGCCCTGGACAGTCGTCGGAAGCAGCGACAACGGCGGTTGAACCAGTTGCGACAGCTACAACGCTTACTGGAGCCCTTCCAGAACCCGCAGGCTAACATCCAGCCAAACTTGGTCACAAGAGATGGGGAGTTGGTTCAGGAGCTGGACAAAATGCGGATGCTGGTTGCGCGCGTAGGAGGGCGGATTGAGCAGGGCAAGAAGAAGCTCAACAGTGATGAGCAGAACGCTTCGTACTCGCTAGAAGGGGATGAGAAGTTGGAAGCGTTGTTGGACATGACTGAGTAAGAGAGTTTTAGCAGAACAAATGGGGATGAGGGTATACAGAACAACAAAACCTAGAAGTAAAAAAAAAAAAAGTAGAAATTCAAAACAAAAAACCACAGAAAGCTGAAAATCTGGGACCGCATGCTTAGAGGCTGCATATGCATGAATAGGTACCATTTGTCTATTTGTTCTCCCCGGAAAAGGTACGGCGGCCGAGACTGGTAGCACAGCTGCATGGATCAGATTTGCCCTAGACAATCATCATCAGAAGATGATCTCAATCACTGGACCTACCGCTGTGTCTGTCGAAAATTAGGGGGAGAAAGTTTCCAATGCAGCTTGGTAGAATTCTGGAAAAGGTGCAAGGGGTAAGGCAACGATTGAATTACCTACAGTTGCATCAACCACCACAGGTGCCAGTTCAGTAAGTGAGTGAGTTGTTGGGTTGTTTATTCTTATTTGTGCATGTCCCGGCCGCACCTGCGCTGCTACTGCTGCTACTGCTGCTGCTTGTGCTTGCTTTTCCTTCTTCCTTCTGCTGGTTTCTTTTTGTTCTTCCTCTCTTCTTTTGGAGATTGTGTTAACTCTACTGTGCTAAGCCTAGTTCTTCTGTTTATCTAACACCCTTGACAGTTACCTTCAACTTTCACCCAACTCCCCATGTGCCTGACCCTGCGTGTGCCTGTGCTTTTACCTCAGCCTCCAGCCCGTTCATGAATCCAAGATGGGAGAAGCCGAAGTCTTCACCGCCTCCAGTTGTGGCGCTAACGGGGCTAGTGCTCGGATGAATCTCTCCGAATCTCCGGCGCTTGACCCTTTTAGCTCAACACCGGGAGTAGTGAACAACACGGAGCGCAATGACGACGGCCACAATCGCCAACCTCATCTGGCCTCTTCGTCTGTGGCTTCAGCTCCTGCCTCTGCCTCTGTATCTGCAGCGGTCGCTTTTCCAACACTCGACTTTTCTTCTTTCTCCGATTTCACCCCATTGATTCCACCCGACCGGAAGATCAAGAGTGAACCCGTTTTTCCAGTCCGCAACACCAACGCGTCCACACCCCCGTCTGCTTCCAAGCCAGCCTTTGTCCGTGGACATCGTCGTCGTTCCACCCACGTTACTCGGCGCGACCTCGACAAATTTCGCAAAGAGGTTCTTGGCGTAGAGAGCCCAGGTTTCGGATTCGACGACGATCCCAAGCCCCCCGCATCGACCAATCCCGCCCGCGACCCTCAGTTTGAAACCTTGAACCGTGCTTTCGAAGCGGCAAGCATGTCCTTGAACAACGCTGGGGGCATGGCTGGCAACAATCCCGGTGCGAACATGTACGCCGGTTACGTGGATAACACCGGAGGTGGCCCAATCATGCCCAATGTCCCTCGTCAGTCTATGTCGCCCGCCATGCCACATACCCCTAGTCAGGTTAACGGCGCCGGAATGCCTGGGATGAACGGCGGTATGCCCATCAATGCGGGACAGCAGATGGATCTTCATCATCTCTACGACATGGTCCTCGAACTGAGCGAGGTGTTGAAGAACAACCGTGAGACTACGAAGAGTATTGTCAGCAGTGCGGAGGAGATCATGGTATGATTCTTTTTTACATGGAAGGCGGGCTTTGCAGTGCTGACGGTCTTAGAAACGCTCTTCTGCTGAAGGAGTCAGCCCGAGCATCCAGCAAGTGAATGGCGAACTTTCAGGTTTGTGAACGGCCATTCGAAATATGAGCACCATACTGACAAGTTCAGCTGCCCGCATTGCAGAGCTTGAGCGCGCTCTCGCGAAAGAGAAACGTCTCGTTGAGATCCTTCGGAACGAGCAGGTGGAGAACACGAAGCTGATTGGGGAATACGAGGCGGCCGTGGGTGTTATGGTGGAACAGATTCGCAACTACTGCCAGAACAACAACCTTCACTATCTCGCGCAGAAACGTCACTACAACAACCTTCTCCAAGCTGAGCGAGACTCCCACCTGGAAAGTCGACTGGATCGGGACTACTGGCATGCACAGACCATGAAGTGCGCCGAAATGATCCGCACCGCTTATCGCCTGCGCTGCGAGGAAGAGGAAACTCCGATTCGCATCGTAGCTGGTCTCCAGAACGAAGTGCGTGCCTACCGCAACGCCCTCGGCATGGAGCCCGAGAAGCCCGAGGAGGAATACGGATGGGAGATCCTGAAAGACGTCCCCGGCGGTTCCGAGTGAAGTAACATGGCAGCTTCCGTACCCTGGCGGTATGCTTGCGCGATGACGATGACGATGACGACTTGGTTATCGGCTTTTTTTTTTTCTAAGCACATGACATTACATATGGCGTTCTGGAGGAGCACGTGTTACTTACGGGATTGTTTTCGGGGAAAGATACCCATCTTCGCATGATTTGTATCACTGTCTTCTGCTGGTTATGGGGGGGATATTATGTACTTCATTGGACATTCGCATCGGATCTCTCGCCCAGCTTCAAGATCTGAGATTTGTATTCAAAACAGCTTGCATGTATCTTACATAAAGAACTAATGATGCTTCGCTGAACTTTTTCCCTCCCAATCTATTCCGTATAGAAAACCTCATCCAACACCTTCCACCACCCCGGCCCTTCAGCACTGCCCACAGCCCCAGGGATCGGACTCTCCTAGCCATCAAACAAAGTCAATCCGGCGAACCCCGACACCCTCCCCGTCAGGGAGAGGCAGAAAAAAAAAGGAAGAACCCCACATACCTGCATCCCATCCGTCATCGCCCACCACTCGCGCACCTTGGGATTCGCCCGCATCCGCGCCATATCCCCCTCGTAGTCCTCCCCGATATACTTGAACGTCGCGAACAGCGTCCGCTCGTTGTCGAAGAAGATCGAGTCTAGATTCCGGAGACATCAATCAGTGTCAGTCTGCCCCCCTCGGCCCAATCGGTCTCGTCCTGAGTGCCGAGTATATTCACGGTAGGCCGTCCTTTTCGACCCTGAGGGAAATGTAGGCAGGTAGATAGGCAGGTATCTAGCTCCCCGAGGAGGCCCGAGTGAGAAAGGGGGGGGGGGGGAGGGGGAGCACCTACAATCCCGGATATGACACTCGTGGATCTGCCGCAGCACCTCGGGCCAGACGTTGGCGTGGCATTCTTTGTACGCGGCGACGGCGGCGGGTTTGAGGTGGACGATTTGCGCAATGCGACGAGCTGGGGTTGGCGGGGGCATTTTTCAGGTCGTCGGTTCGTGGGTTTGTGCTGGTTGGGGTTGAGGATTTGCTTTGCGATTGTCGCGAGATTGGGAGGAGGAGGAGTGAGCGAAGCAATGTGTTTATGGCGGTTTGGTGTCGTTTGTGAGGTTGGACTTAGGTTCTGGTTGCTTCGTTATTGCTTGTGCTTTTCTGGGGGATTTGGAGATGGAAGGAGGGGTTCGTCGCGGCGGGGTTTACAATACTAGTATAGTGTAACATATAGGCTCGGGGTGTTTTGACCCGAATCGTGGGGTGAGGGGTGGTGATCTTGATTGTTTTGTGAGGGGGGCTTGGCGGATGTATATCACTGCTCAGTGTGCAGGAGAGTACAAGTGTGTTTGGTGAGTGGTGCGGGGAGGTTCCGATGGGTCTCGATTTTGGGATAATTACTCCAAGGGGGTCATGGTTGCTGTTGTCTATACTTCGAATTCGACGGGCGAGGAAGGTATGGGTTTATATATAGTGGAGGGTGGACACCAGATAAAAGTTGTGGTGAGCCAAAGGTCATATATCATATCATGAACCCGAGATTAAGAACATCATAGAAGAGCAGTGCGCGCTTGGTATCCATCATAAAACCAGTCATCAATAATCAAGCAAAATTCGAAGCCAACAACCGCTCTACCGTGGTACAACCTGCTTCTTCGACACGGGTCGGATCCACGACACAAGCACATTCGCCCCGATCGAGATCGCCCCGATGATCCAGAGGGACTTCGAATAGTCCGAGCCATTGTAGCGGAATATAATCGCAAAGATGATCCCGCCAAGGTTGCCCATTCCGCCCACTGCACCGGAGACCACACCTGCCCGTCTGTTAGTATACCCGAGGTTAAGGAACGCTGAAGCAAGACGTACCATTGGCAAACGGAAAGACATGCGGCACCAAGGCGAAATTGGCACCATTGCACGACTCCAGGAAAAATGCGAGCCCCGCGATGAGCCCGAACATGGTGGATTCGGACTTGGGGTTCGTCAGCCCGATCGCCAGCTCGAAGGCCCCCATGATGACGCCAAGGAACACGAGCAAGATCTTCTTCGACCACAGATTCTGGGTCCGTCGAAGGAGCAGGTCGGCCAGAAAGCCGCCCGCTGGTCGGAAGACGACGTTGAGCAGACCGAACATGGCTGCCCATTGTCCGGTCTTGGTCTGGCCCATATGGGGGAAGTTCGCGGAGTAATATTCGCCCAGGTTTGAGTTGATGGCCAGCTCTGCACCGAAGGAGCAGGCGTAAGGGATGGCTACGGCGGCGGTAGAGAGACTGAAAAGTACCCCCATGGCCTCTTTGCGTGTGGGGGCTACCACAGTATCCGTTCGGACGGCATCGAACTCCGCGATGGTCTGGGAATTAGAGCCAAGAGACACGGGCGTTTGTGCGCCTTTCTTCTCCACGTCTGCCATGACGTTTGTCATAGATGGCGTGCTGGAGGGCTGTGCGGACCTCAGGTCCGCCTTGAGGTCGACAATGTTGCCTTCTGACTCGGCAGCCATCTCGCGAGCCCAGAGGTGGCGCTCTGACCATTTACCCGTTGGCGTGTCCTCGCATAAGAAGAGCATCGCCACAGCGATAACCACAATGATGATAAAAGGGACGATGAAAGCAACCCGCCACGCTTTGTGTGGTGTGAGGCCCCGCGAGTAGACCAGCGAATCGTAGACAGCGGGCATCACGAAGCTAACATGCATCAGTCGACGTCTTGCAATGCTGTCCCCAAGAATTGTCAACGTACTATGTGATACCACCACCAGCATTACCCCAGCCTCCAGCAAGGGCATTGGCCATTCCGACAATCTTCTTGTCAAAGAACCCAGTGCACCAAACCTGACAAGGCACGAATGTGCCTCCCAGAATACCAATGAAGAAGCGTAGCGCGATCAGTCCCTTAGGCGTGGTGACCAGACCAGCCATGGCAGTGGGGATTGAACCGCTGAGCAGCAGTCCGATGAACACCAGTCGCGGTCCAAATCGATCACACAGAGGGCCTGCCACGAACCTCACAAGTAGTCTAGACAATCGGTCAACTGCCTGTTGTGCACATATGAGGGTAGGTGTCTTACGTTGCTAGCAGGGCAACAATGTTTGAGTTTGCCACGTCTTGCTGTGTCATGTGCAGGTCTTTTCGGATTGTGACGGTCAACTAGTTGAGCTCCGAGTGTCAGTCGTTATCCTCCATACTGGCCAAGGAGGAAGGCTCCCCCACTCACCAATGGCGGAAAAGCATACCACGAGAGGAATGCAACCATGAAACCCAGCCACGAGAAGAAGAAGACTCTTCCATATCGATCGAATGGGTTGAGAACAGGAATAGACTGTGCTTTGCGATTACTTGGGTTGATCTCCGGCGAGACAAAGAGAAGTTTGACGAAGTCCATGGTCAATCACACCGTGTACGAAGGTGTCTGCGTGGTGGTTTAGGAGTAGAAATTGAAGTACAGGACACACGAAGAGTAATAGGACTATAGGTCGAGCTCGAGGGCACCACAATAGGCAACACCACCAGGGTGCAGAAAAGAGAATAGACCAACGGACCGCTAGGCTAGACGACGGTGCTATGGGTCCGGATGTTTTCCTGTATTCTAGGACAAGGGAGGCGGATTTAATCCAGACTAGGAGGAGAAAATCGCACTTCATATATAGACCATGGTTGGAACCACATCCCAGAAGCATGGAGATATGAGCACAGTATGATGATGCACCTGGCAAGCAATCCCCTATGCCAGAGCAATATCTCTATCTCCTAGGAGATATACAGATGCAAGTCATGACTGTGTCAACCCGAGATTAGGACACATGCCCAGTCGCATATCTCTCAGCAGCTCGTAACAGCACTGGGCAGTGCGGCAGCTGGAAAATCATAATCGAGGCAAAAATCATGAAGCCAATCTGGAGAGCGACGCGCAGTGATCCACTCGTCGGACAGTGCTAATATGGTAGTGGATACCGCAGCTCGTAGCGCAGCAGCAGCACAGGACTAGTCGGAGATGACCTCAGGGTTCGTGGTATGGAAAGAAGATCCAGACCCATTTCCATACCCCATGTCGAGAAGTGGCCAACGAGGGTGATTCATCCGGCCAAGAGATAAGGCAAAGGGACCCTGCACGGCAAATGAGTTGGTTGATAGGCGTGGCGCGGATACTGAGGCTGATAAGGAAGTAAATCTGGGGAGAACAACTCCGCGGAGGTCCCAGGACAGTCAGGAAGGTTTCTGGTTATCTATCAGTAAGGTATCAGCAGCGAGACGGCAGTGACAGGCCCAAGTCGACCGGTAAGTGGGCCTCGGTCCTCAGGCCCATCTCCATCGGCAGCTAGAAAAATTTTCGCTGGGAATAGATCATCCCGGTTTCTTGGTGTTGCTTGACTTTCGTCAACTTGCCTAACCTGCTATAGTCTCTCCTCCAAATTAGTCTCGACTAGTGTCTGAAACGACCTTGCTGAATGGTCATCCATGGTGGGTAGGAGGAGTATTGCGTCTCCATCTCAATGGAGACTCAGAAAAGGCGGGTGTTTCGGAGCGGTGTCATAAGCTCTGAAGCTATTTTTTTTTTCTTCCCTTGTCTCTCCCCTTGTTTTTTTCCTTTTCATTTTTGGTTCATGGTTTCAAGATACATTGCTGAGGTGAATAGATTGTCAGAGAGCAAGCCACGGTTCGTAAAGCGAATCTGAGTGGACGATAGGGGATGGATGATAAGGGGGAGTGTCGATAGGGAGGGTGGAAGTTTGTTTTTCAGGACCGATCCATGGATAAAAACAGTTAGTGGAGATCAGGTGCCCACGCCTGCACAGACCACGCGATGGGCTGATGTTCGGCACTCGTTGGCCATCCAATAACATTCCATACATTAGACAAACTGCAAACGTGATGTTCCGTACCCTAATTTCCTGCCAGGTGCAGTGGTAAGTTAATATGTCCCTCCCTGCTACGGTACTAGATTCAATTGCCTTGAAATAGGCGAGGTCTTGAAATTCGAGAAAAATGATAGGAAAGACAAATGATTGAGCAAGACAGGGAGAAAGTAGGTCACTGTATGCAGTAATTACCCCGTACAGCAAGGCCCCACACAAAATCTCCTTTGCCATTCAAGGAAGCTTCATGGGACATGATGGGATGAGATTATTCTTCCTTATGTTTCCTGTATCGACATGCAGGCTTTGGCCTAAAGAATGCTCCACTCATCAAAATTTACATGTACAGAGGTAGCGTAGGTAATATTGTGCTGTGAACATCATATTGTCTTCGTTAGTTTACAGAATTGGCACACGAGTTTCCAGCCTAAGCACTGGCAACCTCAGGTATCTAACATAGCTTCGTAACAACTTCATTAATGCGAAAATTTGCAACCTCTACCAATCAATCACGCCAGATGGCGCCGCCCGCTTAGTTGCTGGTGTCTTCTCAACCGTCTTCTTTCCACGGATTCCCCGGTACTTTCGGTCATGTTTCTGGAATGGGTCCGATGCTTCTCCCTTCTTCACTTTCCATTTCTCTGTTCCGAGGAGCGAGTCCAACTCATCCACCGGGGGCAGCTTCAGGTAGACCCAGCCATCAGCACGCTCTTCCACGGGAAATGTGGCAATGTTCATGTTCTCGTCATTGGAACAGCGACCCGCCTGCTCCCCGTTAAGCTCGAAGTTGCGCTTGTGATTTGGGCATGATACCCAGTACTTGCCGGCATCATCATCGCCGATCAAGCCATCGGACAGGACAAAGGCACGCTTATGAGGGCACATCTGCTGGGTCGCATAGAATTTGCCCTTGATCTTGAAAACAGCCAGCTGCGTATCCCCGCGTTTGAGGTTCGCGGATGTGATGCCATCCGAGAAATAGTCTGCTTTGATCATAGGCTGCCACGAAAGACCGGACCATTGGTGGCCCTTGAAGTCCGCCTTTGCAGGCTCCTTAGACCAATAGGTGGGTCTTTCTTGGCCACGCTCTTTGATGACCTCGACAGTCTCGACAGTCTCGTCTGTGTTGGCGAATTGTTGGAAATGTTTGCGTCGCTTGGGATCCCGGATCGTTTCCGTCCATTCACAGAAATAGCCGTCCACGAGCTCCTGCATTTGCTGCTCCATCTCCGCGCCAATCCCAAGCTTATCATCAACTACCACCTCCCGCAGATACTCGATTCCACCAGGAAGGTTCTCTATCCAGCGAGCTGTTCGCTGAAGCTTATCCGCTGTGCGAATATAGAAAATGAGATACCGATCGATTAGGGGAATTACTTTCTCGGGCGGCACATCTTTGGCGAGGATCTCCGAGTGCCGGGGCTTGGCGCCTCCATTGCCCCCAACGAAGATATTGAAACCCTTCTCGGTGGAAATTAGGCCAAAACTGAAGGATGTTAGCCTGATGTATCACTGAAGTCGAGGACTTTGTCCGGCTTACTCCTTGTTCTGTGCCTCGGCACATTCTCTTACACATCCAGAAACAGCACCTTTGAGCTTATGAGGAGATCGGAGACTCTTGTAGCGCTCTTCTAGCCGGATGGCCATTCCAACGCTGTCGCCAATACCGAAACGACACCAGGTCGTGCCCACACAACTCTGGAAAGAGATGTTAGTCACTTCTTACAGTACAGCACGAAATCCATCTGATCTCACCTTAACGGTTCGCAGGGACTTTGCATAAGCATGGCCACTCTCCATGCCCGCATTCACGAGTTCTGTCCAAATGTCGAGGAGATCCTGCTTCTTTGCCCCGAACATGTCGATACGCTGACCGCCAGTAATCTTGCAGTATAGGTTGTATTTCTTCGCCACTTGTCCAATGGCAATCAACTTGTCCGCAGTGATTTCACCTCCCGGAACGCGAGGAACCACGGAGAATGTTCCGTTGCGCTGGATATTTGCAAGAAATCGGTCGTTCGTCTCTTGCAAGTCGTGATATCCTTTATCCATGATATGGGGGTTGAAGAGACTCGAGAGAATGGACGCGATCGCAGGCTTGCACAATTCGCAGCCAAGCGACTCGGGGTTCTTTCCGACCGCCCCCATCACATCTTCGAAGGTCTTCAGCTGTTTCACAGCGATAATATTGTACAGATCCACTCGTGAATGTGGGATGTGAATACACACTATGCGGATGTTAGTTTCCAATTCGCAGGAGAAGGGAAGCCAACTTACAGTTGTTCGAGACTTCTTGGCCCATGTCCTGCATGGCCTTGTTGAAGATCGACTGCACTAGGGGCATGCAGCCGCCACAACCGGTCCCTGCTTTAGTGCACGACTTAACCTCGCCAATGGTTTTGCAGGTGCCACTCTTGATCTTGGCAACCAAATCCCCTTTGGTAACATTATGACAAGCACAGATCTGGGTACTGTCGTCACTGCTCATCTGTTAGCCAATGCTTTCAGTATGAAAAAGAGGCAAAACTTACAGGTCGTCTCCATTCTCCTCTCCGTCCTTCTGCGCACCTAGAATGAACTGACTAGGAGGCACCTCTAGCTCCTTTTGCATCTTGACCATTTGGTTCAATTTGAGGTAGTCCTTTGTATCTCCGATCATCATTCCGCCAAGCAAATATTTGCCATCCATGGTGAACAAGTATTTTTTGTAAACACCACTGAAGGGATCTTTGTAAGTGAGTGCTTTCACTGACGATTCACTGTCCACCTCACTGTCTTTCCAGTCGGCTTGAAGTGAGGGCCTTTGGCCCGGCAGAAATTTGGGCCCATCCCTGTCAGCAAAGAAGTCGCCAAAGCTGGCAACATCCACACCTAAGAGCTTCAACTTGGTGCTCAAGTCGGGTCTTCTGAAACTCTTTGGCTCCTTGTCGGGGTTCGTCAAATTGTATGCCAAGACATCGGCCATCTCAATACCCGGCGCTATGATACCAAATGTCTGGTTCTCCCAGCTTGCGCATTCGCCAACAGCATAAATATCCTCCACGGATGTTTGCAGACTGCGAGAAAAGATTAGAATACGATGTGTTGGCGTGAAGCACATACACAATCATACCTTTCGTTGATGACAAAACCTCCTCGTCCCGCACACTGAATGCCGGCGGACTGTCCCAGCTCATCTCTGGGACGTACTCCGATCTGAAATGATGGTTAGCCTGATAACAATTGCAAAGTCAGCTGAGAAAAGAAGCATACAGCAAAGCAAATGCAAGAGCAGTCAATCTCTTCGCCATCCTCGAAGACAATTCCCGTGACGTTGTTGTCAGCGTCGGTCTTGATAGTCGCTACACGTTTCTGGTGCAACACATCCAAGCCCAGCTCTCGGATTTTGCGTGTCACAAGAGTTCCTGCATCTCCGTCGAGCTGTCTGGCTAGAACCCACTTGTTACGGTCAATGAGTTTCACATTCCCGAAATCTCCAAGATCGGTCATGGCCTTGGCAGCTTCTAGGCCCAGCAGGCCTCCGCCAACTGTGACTCCTGTCTCGCCTTTATGCTTGGACGCGAATTCAATGAGATTCTCGAGGTCAGAAATAGTCCGATAGACGAAGATCCCTTTTGCATCATGACCAGGAGTGTGAGTGGGAAGGACGGCATCAGAGCCAGTAGCAAGGACAAGAATATCGTAGGTGATGGTATCGCCTGTTGATGTCTTGACTAATTTGCGTTGGGGGATGATCTCGGTCACCCGTGTATTGAGGTGATAGTCGAAGGATCTATCTTTGACCGATCCATACTGATTGACATCAGTTATCACTCATGTGCACCACCTCATCATGGTTGACTTACCCATTCTGTTGGGTTCAGGTACAAGTCTTCGATCTTGCGGTGTTCGAAGAAGGACGAAAGGCCGACCCGATTGTATGCGACATGAGGCTCCTCCCCGATGACGAGAATATCGTACTGTCGACGATCTGCATCCTGTTTGATGATCTTCTCGCTATAGGATGGCACGGGAAGTCAGCGCGAGCTCCACTTATACTATACAGTCTGGCCGGGAGAGAACACACATGAGTGAGATGGCGACCATGCCCAAGCCTACCACTACGATCTTCTGACGCGCACTCGAGTCATGTCTGCGCGGTTCTGTATCCAAGCTAGGCTCCATCATCAATGACGTCTGGAGGTGGACATTGTGGATAGAGCCAGGAATGACAGGATCGCTGCTCCTGGGTCCATCCAGCAGAGGCATGGTGGCGGAGGATGGGGGCTCAGGAGATCCTGGTGTTGCAGCGGCTCACAAGGAATCACCAGAGAGTTGTCTGTGTCACCAAATGGCCAAGAAGCTTTCTACTCATATACTATTGCTGGTGTCATGATGATTTTCGCCAAGGATGCTGATAAGCGCCCGCAGACAAATTGACTGCTCTGAGGCATTGTCTTTCTCCGTGGCATTACTTTCAGAGGCAGGTTATGAGGCAATCGATTGGGCCAATTTTTAGCCACAATCAGGGCCTCTGCGCCCCGCCAGGTCGATCGTAGGAGCCACCGTTCATGGGTACGAGCCGTGGATCGGAGATATTAGAGCGAATGGATAAGGATTAAGGCACTGGGGGGGCGGGGGGGGGAGCAAGCGCTCAGATACCGTTCTGGACCCAGCGAGGTGAAACTGGGGCGACGAGGAATGAGAGGGTTGATTCTTTGCATGTCTCCGCGGAGAAAGGGTAGGAGATGGGGAAGATGGGGAGATTGATAGTCGGGTGAAGATAGAGGACTGATAGAGAGTAACTGCTGCCAATAGTGATGGTCTTACCAACAATCGTCCCGATGCTTATCGGAAATGCTGATAAGCCAAGAGGATCCACCCGATTGGGTGCATGAGCATTGTGCAGGATATGCATGCATATGCTGAGTCAGATGAGTTCATGCATGCTTTACCTTTGGCTCCTTGCAGTGCAGCTTCCGTCTCCTCCAGGCATTCATTCTTCTTCAACGCATGACAATGATGGATCATGGAAATGGCGCAAATGAACCCCATCTTCCCACCCCTTACGATTTTAGTTACGGCCGAATCGGCCCTCCGATGTCAGACCCGGCCTCAACACCTCACACCTCCTCGTAATCAGTCCGATGGGGTTGGGTGTGGATCCTGTGGATCTCAAACTACTTACCGTCCGGCACCGGCCTTGTTCATCGCTCGTTTTCTGGTTCTCGTCTCATTCTCCGCGGCCAAAATGGACCTTCTTTTCGCTCGATTTCCCATTCGAGTTTTTTCTTTTCTCTCTTTTTTTTGTATTTTCTTTTATTCTTTTTGCCTCTCGCCTAATTATTATTTCCCCTAGCCTCTGGTATGGTCTGGTTTTAGGGGATTTTTGTATCGTCTTTTTTTTTTACTTATTATTTATCCACCACATCAGAATGCGCCAGACCAGAATAAGTCTGTCTTGGGAGGCGAACAAGGACTGGAATTCGAGGTAGACTTCCTCTGCTCCTCACGTCTCTCTCCCGTGTCTGCCATTTCACTTTCTGCTGCCTGGTTATACCTCACTTTGACTCCCCGCGGAAATATCCCTTCCCGGCCCCGTGCAACTATTCGCAGCCAGCGAGACTATTGCCCTGTGCTCCGTGGGTAGACCAGATCCCGCAGGCTACTTGTTGCTTGTTGAGCTAATTCATGTGCCGAAGCTTATAGTTTCCCCCTCGGGTTCCCAAGGTCTGCCAGGAATACTGCTGTCTCTTTGGTTTTGACTGCCCGAGGCTCTCTTATTTCCTGCCTCTTGGTTTTGCAGGCATCCTGTCGGATACATAGGCGTGTTGGAGCCCCGACATAGGTGAATTTACTTTCCCTCATACCCTAGCCGTTTGCCTGGCCCTTGCGCCATCACAATATGACGACCGTCACAGAGGTGAGGACGGAGATCCTCACTGTCCCGCTCAAGTCGGGCCCCATCACGGTAGAGCAGGAGGAGACCTCGAGGCTTGAACTCGCAGATATACCCCTGCCGCCTCCATCCAAAGAGCCTACGGAGGTTCTGAATGTGGACAAGCCGACGCCTGATTACCACGTTCCTCGCGACCCTCGTCTGATCCGATTAACGGGTGTGCATCCTTTCAACGTTGAGCCGCCACTTACTGCATTGTATAATGAAGGTCAGTGGCTCCCAGCATCAGGCCTTGGTCACGGAACGTCCCATTCTGATAGACACCAAAAGGGTTCTTGACTTCTCCGGAACTATTTTATGTCAGAAACCATGGCCCTGTTCCTCTGGTCAAGGATGAAGACATTCCCAACTGGGAGATCAGTATTGAAGGGTCAGTACCATATCTCACGACAATATAGGCCATCATTGGCTGACAATAGATGAAGTCTGGTGGAGAAGCCGCTAGTCTTGAACTTCCGTCAGATACTACAGCAATACGACCAGATTACTGCCCCCATCACCATGGTATGTGCCGGAAATAGACGCAAAGAGCAGAACACCGTAAGGAAATCCAAGGGTTTCTCATGGGGCTCAGCGGGACTGTCAACGGCGCTCTGGACCGGTCCCATGATGGCGGACATTCTGCGCAGTGCTAAGCCTCTTCGGAAGGCCAAGTACGTTTGCATGGAGGGTGCGGACAAATTGGTAAGACTTCACAGCAATCAATAGCTTTTGGTGTCTAACGATATTGCGGTAGCCCAACGGATACTACGGTACATCCGTCAAGCTCAACTGGGCCATGGACCCTAATCGTGGAATCATGCTTGCCCATAAGATGAACGGAGAGTCCCTTCGTCCAGACCATGGTCGCCCTCTTAGGGCTGTTGTACCCGGTCAGATCGGTGGCCGGAGTGTCAAGTGGCTAAAGAAGCTGATTCTCACCGATGCGCCAAGCGACAACTGGTATCATATCTATGATAACCGAGTTCTACCGTGAGTCCCACAGCTTTCCGAGGAAAGACTCATTGTCTGACAATTCTCAGTACAATGGTATCACCTGAAATGTCTGCCAGTGATCCTAATTGGTGGCGTGATGACCGGTATGCAATCTACGATCTCAACGTCAACTCTTCCGTGGTATACCCTCAGCATAAGGAAATGCTTGATCTCTCATTGGCTGGACCAACGTACACTGTCAAGGGTTACGCATATGCAGGAGGTGGAAGGAGAATCACACGAGTCGAGATCTCTCTTGATAAAGGCAAAAGTATGGTCCTCACTTGCCAGTCTTCAAGTCAGTTGAAGCTAACGTTTCTTCAGCCTGGCGTTTGGCGGACATCACATATGCCGAAGACAAATACCGTGAGTTCGAAGGCGATCTTTTCGGTGGCAAAGTAGACATGTCCTGGCGTGAATCATGCTTCTGCTGGATTTTCTGGTCCCTTGATATCGCCATTCCTGAGCTTGCAGATACCGATGCCATTCTCGTCCGGGCAATGGACGAAGCCCTAAGTATCCAACCACGTGACATGTACTGGTCTGTCCTGGGAATGATGAACAATCCTTGGTTCCGAGTGAGCATCACAAAGGAGAATGGAATGCTCTTCTTCGAGCATCCGACTGATCCTACTGGCCCTGGTGGTTGGATGGAGCGTGTCAAGAAGGCGGGAGGTGACCTGGCGAACGGCAACTGGGGCGAGCGTCATGAAGGAGAAGAGCCAGCAGTGCCTGAGGTCGAGAAGGAGGTCAACATGAAAAAAGATGGTGTGACCCGTGTGATCGATCTGCAAGAGTTCAAGAGCAATTCCAGTGAGGAAAAGCCTTGGTTTGTTGTGAATGGGGAAGTCTACGACGGCACCGCTTTTCTCGAAGGTCATCCTGGTGGGGCCCAGAGCATCATCTCATCCGCCGGACTTGATGTATCAGAGGACTTTCTCGCGATCCGTAAGTCAGCCCAGTACCTTACAACGACCGTTTGAACGCTAACCCGCCGACAGACAGTGAAACTGCGAAGAAGATGATGCCCGACTATCACCTCGGTACGATGGACAAGGCCTCCCTGGAGGCACTTAAGAATGATAACGCACCGAAATCCAGCGAGCCACGCGCCGAGTTTCTCCAATCACGAGCGTGGTCGAAGATGACACTAACCAAGAAAACCGAAGTATCATGGGACACACGTATCTTCACTTTCCAGCTAGAGCATGACAAGCAGACTCTGGGGCTACCCATTGGTCAGCATCTCATGATCAAGGTGCCGGACCCAGCCTCCAGCACGGAATCCATCCTCCGCTCCTACACCCCGATCTCGGAAACCAGCCAAGAAGGCACGATGGATCTGCTGGTCAAGATCTACTTCGACACCCCGACCCTGAAAGGCGGGAAGATGACCACGGCGCTGGAGAAGCTGCCCCTGGGGTCGGCCATCGACTGCAAAGGCCCCACGGGCCGATTTGAGTATCTCGGCCACGGCAAGGTCCTCGTCAGCGGCAAGGAGCGTTCCGTGCGCTCCTTCAAGATGATCTGCGGCGGCACCGGGATCACGCCCGTCTTCCAGGTCCTGCGTGCTGTGATGCAGGACAAGGCGGATCCCACCACCTGCGTGGTCCTGAACGGCAACCGACAAGAGGAGGATATTCTGTGTCGGGCAGAACTCGACGCCTTCGCGGCGATGGATGACACGAACAAGTGTCAGATCATTCACACCTTGACCAAGGCGCCGGATAGCTGGACCGGTCGTCGCGGACGCATCTCGGAGGACATGCTCCGCGAGTTCGCGGTCAATGACGGAGAGAGCATGGTGCTGGTCTGTGGCCCCGAGGCCATGGAGAAGTCGGCCCGCACGATCTTGCTGGCGCAAGGATGGGCGGAGTCCGACCTCCACTTTTTCTGATTCTTGGTCGGTCTGTTCTGTTCTGGGGGTCGTGATCGTCCGGTGGGGTAGACCCTACATTCGTACCTGTCCGTGGCTTGTAAATATGGTATTGTTATAATAGATGCGTCGATACCAGCTGTCCACATATGTCCAGTAAATCTAACTTGAGATACTAGCTTTTCCACCCCTTCTTGTCCATCGAGGCAACCCAGCGGAAACGAGTTTGGGCCGCTTACTGAAGGTTTTCCACCGTCCATCTCATCCTATGATATTATGTACTACACCTCCCTATATACATCCACATTCCCTCATACTAGCTCTCCATAACACCCAACTACGCAACCTAGATATAACCCTACATCGTCTCACCAAACCGCAGACCCACCGAGAATCCCACCCTCAATAGTAAAACTTCACCTCCAACCGCGCCAGCAGGTGATCAAACACGCTTGTGGGGCCCTCCCTGCCCAACGCTTCCCGTCCGGTAAACAAGGGGTCCGGCTCAACACCACCACGACCTTCCACCCCCCTCAAACACGCCAGAAACCCGGCGACCTGCTTCCGGAACAAAAGATACAAGCGACGCACCTCCTCCACGGCGTGGGGACCCCTCACGCCCTCCGCGCCATCGACCCGCGAGAAAGGCGCAAACTCCAGGATCGCAGTGAAGCACGCCTCGAGCCAGCGCCTCGCTTTGTCCACTTGATTGTTTTTATGTTGTTGGGGTAGTGACGGTGGAGGTTGAGAGCTCTGATCCGGGTACTCCTCGACCTCGCCGCTCAACATCATCGCCCGCAGCATCTCATCCAGCATGGCCTCGTGCATCGCGCGGAGCCGCGGCACCGAGCCGGCGGCGGCCTCGATCGCGCCGTCGATATCCCCGCGGTCCAGAGACGCCTCGACGCGCGCCAGACGGTCCTGAAAGCGCGTCCACGCCGCGCCGACGGCGACCTGGCAGCAGTAGTCGCCGACGGCGAGGACGAAGTGCTGCGCCTCGACGCGGAAGCGCTGGTAGATGTTGTGCGTGTCGCCGGACAGGGAGGTGCGGGCCGTGGCGTCGCGGATCAGTGTCGTCGCGACGGAGACCATGCGCTGGAGGCGGAGGAGGTGCTTGAAGAGGAGGTCGTATTTGGCGAGGGCGTTGGCGGTGAGGATCGTGGCGAGGACGGTGGTGGGCGGGGTGTAGATTAGCCGGAGGAAGTCGAGGGCTTCGAGCGCGTGCGGGTTGCGGGCGCGTTGGGTTGCGGCGGGGCTGAGGGTGCGGATGGAGAAGCTTAGAGTGTCGTTGGGTTGGGGGTGGTTGGTGGTGGTGGTGGAGGAGGAAGATTCGTCGAGGAGGCCGATCAGGACGAGGCGCAGTTCGGAGCTGGCGGGGGGCCAGGTGTCGCGGCTACGGGTCCCCAGGCGAAGGCCGGTGTGGACGGCGGTGCGGACGACGCCGGATTTGCGCTCGCCGCTGGTCATTTCGGGGTCGAAGAGGGCGTGGAAGAGACGGGTGGTGAAGAAGCCATCCCCCAACAGTTGGAAGCGCCATTGGAGGGTGAGGTGGGTGCGCAGGTGGTGTTCTTTGAAGAGCATGTGTAGGCAGGAATAGTCGATGAGAATGGCTTGAGAGGATAGGAGCGGCGCGAGGGACAGGTAAGGCGTGGATGTTAATTCGGGGCTGAGCTCGTGGCTCTGGGTGTGCGGGGACTCGAGGTGAGGTGGGCGGGCTTCTTCGATCAGGCGTCCGAGTCGACTCTGCGATAGAGCCGCATCGTCTGGCAGGAGGTCGGCTGTCTTCGAAGCCTTGTCGATGTCGAGCAACTCGAACGCTCCGTCAGTCTCGCTATCCGTCTCGAGGTTCGGAGCAAATGACGTTGCAGCAGCGTGTGTGTCGAGCTGTTCACCTCGGTTGTATTTCAGGATTGCAGCACGCAGCCGCGCCTCGTAGTCAGATGCCTTCCTCTGGATCTTCTCGATGTCAAACCAGGTGCCAGCACAGTCAAGCTTGACAGATTCAGCACCATAGGTCGCGTGGCTTGCAATGGGATGTTGTGGGTGATTTCCCTTGAGAAGCCGTAAACTCCGTCCAGTTTCGAAGATAAGCTGCGCCTGGTCCGAAGGAACGAAAGATGGCATCAGATCTGGAAGGAATCTATAGTCGACTGTTGTCGCCCTAGATGAGAATGTATGGTTATCCGTGGTCTCGCGAAACACGAAGGTCCTCCCGCTGGACGCGAGCTCAATCGAAGTCGACGTCTCCGGCTGGAACCCCACCCAAGTTTCCACATAAGAGAGCCAAGGTTCCATAACCCGGGCGATAACTTGTCGCAGAAGAGGCTCCATCTGGCCAAAGACCTGCGAGAAGTGGGCCGCTCGTTCAAGGACAATGGAGATCAGCTGGGTCTCGGATACTGCGCCCTGGACAGCGTCAACTATGCTCGCTAGCACGTGCACGAGATCACCACATTGCGCGAAGAGGCTCTTGATCTGAAGGAGTGAAGCAATATGGCTGGCATGTTTGGCGAGTTGCTTTTCAAGGGTGTAGATGATGACCGCTGCTGCGCTGGAGAAAGCGCTGAGTGTCGATAGTTCGTTCGATTTGACAGGAATCCTGTCTACGAAGCGTCGAATGTTCTGCATTTTAGTTCCGCACTCAATTAAATCAGTTGTGACCGCCTTGAGCGCAGTATAAGTGATGCCGGAGATGCGAACTTTGTTGTGCACGGCCTCGAATGTGTTGTGTTGTTCATTGTAGCGAAAGAACCTGGAACCCCAGCCCAATCCGAGTCTAAACAAGGCCTGGAAATAGACATTGTTGCGAACAATGAGATGCCTTTCTAGGTTATTATTGTTCTTAGCAGCTTGATGTGCTAATGCCGCGTCGAAGCCTTTGGCGCCGGACTCGCTGAAATATGCGGTTACTGGCTGACGGTGGTGTCGGTCAAGGAACTTCTCCCAGGAATTAAGTGAGACTTCATGACCAGGATTATGCAGAGTGTTATCCAGGGCCCAGATGTCGTCCGGAGGCTGTTCTCCATCTTCCGCTTGTTCCGTTTCCTCGCTTTGATCGAAACTCGTTCCGAACTGGCTTTCGCTCGAGGTATCTAACGTCGGTAGCAGTGGGGGTTCCGGATCACAGAAGCTGGTTTCGAAAACATCGAGCTCAGGTATCCGAGGCGCAACCTTGTCAAAAAGGTCTAGAGGTAATTTGAAGACTCCGCCGGAGAGATCTAGTCAGTTTTACAGTGAGTTAGTCCATCTCGCGCGCAATTTTGCGGGAACAATTGTACACACCTGGTAGCCTCTCATCCCACGGCAGGACCTCCAGTGGCTGCAGACATTGCAGAGTGAACTCGGAGAGTCTCCACAGACCCTCGCTCGAGAACGGGTCCCTGACATACTCCTCCGAGTCCATTGTCACTGGTCGAATAAGCACACCGCACACCACAATGGCCTCTGAGCAAAGGGCTGCTCCAAACAAATCGTCATCGTCGGGAAGTTGCGACGCGTTTGACAGCGCGAGATCACCGGCTCACTAATAGGTTGGTGACCTGAAACGGGTTAGTTTCCCCCAGGCTAAGGCACGCCCGGGCCACCGCTTGTTCGGGAAACCGAGAGGAGGAACTTGGAACTTGGGAATTCAGCTTCGCCCGCAGCTAACTTGCTTTGCTTGCATCTGCAGACGACGAGCGCTACAAGGAAGCTCAATCGACCAAATCACCGCGATACTACCCCCTCTCTTAGCTGTTCTATCGCTCACTCACTTCTCATCACACGCGCGACACACACCAATAATCACTATGCCCCCTCGAAAGAAAGCCAAGCTCACCCCCCCAGGCGGCACCACCGAGCCCTCCTCCGCAAGCGCCGCCGCCCCCCCGGGGGGAACCCAACCGCCCGCAGACTACGACCCAGTCACAGACCCTTGGACAGATGAGCAAGAGACAGCCTTATTGAAGGGGATTATCAAATGGAAGCCCGTCGGTACGTCGGCCGCAACGATCCCACTCGAGAATTCTGAAACGCAATTGCGAATCTGCTGTGGGCTGACCGGTGGTACCTGACAGGCATGCATAAACACTTCCGCATGATCGCCATCTCGGAATTCATGAAAAGTCAAGGATACGCGCCCGCCAATGCAGAACACACTCGAATCCCCGGGATCTGGAAAAAGCTAGGCACCTTGTACAACCTACCAGCTCTGGATGAACGTGTAAGTCTCTTGGGTTTGTGTCATGCGCACCCCTCTCCCCCGCCCCGCCGTCTTTGGGCGCGTCGCGGCTTGCACTGAATGTTGACGCAATTGCCATGACGCGCAATTCAGGAAGATTCCTTGATCACCGATATCCCCGAAGATGTCGACGGAACAAGGGAGTTCTACTGCCCATTCGAGCTGCCCGAAGACGAATACGGCGACTTGATGTTCGAGAGGAGATTGGCCATGGAGGGATCCCCGTCGCCGGATCCGAGTGGACCGGCGGACTCGCGAAGAGGGAGCACGGTGGCTGATACGGATGGTATGTGTGGGTTGCGAATGAACCCTAGCCTCTCAGGTCTTCGACATGGGCGCGCGCTGGGAAAGCTCCATGTTACCGGTGGTGAAGGCTTACTGATTGTCTTTTCCTGCGTTTTTAGAACCCCGCTCGTCTCCCGCGCCGTCGCGAGGAAGGAAACCCGGTCGTGGTGGACGGCAAGGAGGGCGCGGTACGCGCTCGTCGCGACTGCAGGTTGAGATCGAGACTCCCGGGAAGGGTTCAGGCAACGGCGAGGACGATGGGGATTCGGTCGATGAGTCGGACGATGGCGATGAGGAGGGTTCGGACGGGGCCAAGGACGATAGCGATCCCGACGAAGAGGCCGATGGAGATGCCGGGGGCTCGCCGACGACACGCAGCACGCGGGCGCAAACGTCTCGGTCGAAACAGAAGGAGAAAAAGGGCGCGGGAACAGGCACGAGACGAGGCGGCCGGAGACGACAGGCTTGAGGAACGCCGTTCGGTGCGCGCATGATTGTTTTTTGTTACTACTGCAAGAGTTGATACCTGGAGCTAGGAGCTGGCGTTTGGGGTTTGTCTATCTTTGTACGATTACCTTTGCCTATTTCAGTATCACCGCATTTCATGTGATATCCATGAATTCTCATCGGATTCTTGATCATGCTCTCCAAGATTGACCACAAATATCATGAAGGGTCACTGTCATTGTACATGCACC